ACGAAGTTTCCTTGTAAAAGAGCAAAATAGAAACACACAGAGAATTCGGAAGGATTCAAAAGAAATGGAAATACATAACATATGTATACGATGTATATCGATCTATATATATATGTTTTGTTTTGTATATGATACAACAGTATAGTACTTAGCTACATACAAATAGATAACATGTATGTGTTTTGTTTGTGCGTTAGTGAGAGCGGCACGGCGGGTGAGAGGGCCTATGGTGAATGGTGAATGGAGAGCGCAAAAACGCACAACGGAATGCAACATTTAGTTGGGCGAAGTATTGCGTTTTGGTGTCGACGGCGGCAGATCCATTGTCTTACACACCCATCCTGATATATCCACCTCCTCCACCTCCGCTTTGCGTATCCACGGATGACTCTTCACAGCGACAGAAAAAGAAGAAAAAAATTCGATCGAAATGATATTTGCGCAGCGGAATTGCACTATTTTTTGTTTACATACCAGCAGAGTCTTGAGATCGGCCCGCTCGTCGGGCTGCTTCTTGAGGCAGATGTCGACAAAGTCCTTGAACTCGTTAGAGAATATCTTATGTTCCAGCTTGGGCGGCGGTTCGTTCACTATATAGTCGAGCAGCTCGAAGATGGCCATCGCCCTTGGCTCATCGACGGGCTGATTGCTATCCTCGCTTTTGTCCGCAAAGATCGACTCTAAAGTGGCGTCATTTGGCGGCGGTATCGGATACATGCCGATGGCCATCTCCACCAGCGACAGTCCCAACGACCAAATGTCCGATTGCACCGAGTAATGAGTGCCCTGCAGGCGTTCCGGCTGCAACAGACAAGTATAGGGAAGTGGCAAGAACATTTTGGCAAGGGACACTCACTGACATGTAGCTGCGCGTGCCCACGAACGAATTGGCCATTGAGTCAATCAGCTGGCCAGACACTCCGAAATCACAGATCTTTATCTCTCCGCTGCTATTGACCAGGATATTGCTCGGCTTCACATCCCGGTGGATGATAGCATGCTTGTCCCGCAGATAGCTGAGGCCCTTCAGAACGGCGAGCGTTATCCGTCCCAGGATCGATTCGGGTATTCGCCCGGCCCGCTTCAGTATGAGGTCGAGCGACCCGCCGTCCATGTACTCCATGCATATGCTAATCTCACCATCGCTGTAGAAGGCGCCGTAGAAGCCGACAATGTGTGGGAAGTTGCACTCGTGCAGGACCTTCAGCTCGCGCAAGATTTGCTTCTTGATGGCCGGCTTCACCTCCAGATGAATCAGTTTCCTCGCCATTATCAGGTTTGTGTGCGTGTGTCGGACTTTCATGACCACGCCGCCGTTCCCGGAGCCAAGTTCGCCCAGCTTCTCCAGGTCCTCGTCGGAGAGTTCGCCAATCTTCTCCTTTTGGCTGAGGAACACCTTTATCCTCTTGCGCTCCGTGTCGTCCATGTCCAGGCCCTCTAGAGTCTCGGTTAATGCATCAATGCTCGTTTTTGGCTTTCCCAGCAAGCTGTGTGTTCTTTAATTTAACTTTTTAATGAATTTTTGCAGAACAAAAAACGAAAAGTAGAGCTAGGAGAGAGGGGTGGATGGGGATGCAATAGAGGGTAAAGGGGTAAGGGGTAGGGGGTGAATGCAAGGCCAGGGTGTATACTCATACTAGGTAATCTCCAAGTCCCTCTTTTCGCATAATCGCATTCAGTTGCATTTGAGTACGGTATGTGGTGCTGCTGCATGCACGACAGAGAGCGAGAAAGAGCGACTCGTGCCACCTGGAGGGAGTGGGACCTTACCTTGTATAAGCTTACCATGTGCCATCCCTAAAATATCCTTGTCTCTTTTCCACCCACTGTGGGTGACTTCGTGCTTTCGGGCCGTAGGTGTAGGTGTGGGTGTGTGTGCGATATGTTTAAAATGACAACGGCATCGCCAACAACAGCAGTAGCAGCAGCAGCAGAAGCGCACACCCACCCACCCATCCTTATACGCCATTTCAAAGCAGACCCGGCCAACTGTTCATACCCAGCACCCACTACGGGTAGATTAGTCGCTTATCTCGAACATTTAAAACATACTACTTTTACTGCAAGATCGCGTCCATTTGTTGGCCAAAATGCGACATGGTAAAGTTCCATGCTAAATCACTTGAGACAACACCTTAGCGCAGAAATTACCTAACATCACCGTACTGAGTGCTGGGAATACAGTATGAGGTAGTCGAGCATGGGCCACTGTTGACAAATGAAAACTAGGCGATTTGTGCGAGAAATGTTGGGAATTAGAATTAATTAGATATAAATGTCATATTTACTCTGTGCCCGATGGTGTCTTAAATGGTGGCGTTGGGGCCACTTGTGCCGCTGCAACAGTTGCCTCCGTGTTAACCGGCGGCAGCACCAGGTTCAGCTTGTTCTTCGACATCTCGGCCAAAATGCAAAAAAACACACGCACAATACCAACAATACCAATGCGCTGGCGGCAGCGTCGGCGTTTTGCGGATGGCGCGGGGCGGTGACGAGGCTAGGGCCGGGCCAGCTGCGAACGTCAATCCGGCAAAATTGTATAACCAAAAGAAGTGCGGTGCGTGTACTCCAGCCGCTATGCAAAGGGCAAAAAAAAGTGCAGTTTTTTTTTTGCTTGTCTGCAAATTCGCCGACACGGCTATTTTTTTTACTTTTTGACGCTGCGCGAGCTAGTAATGTTGGTTCCCAATGAGTGGTAGCGATACTGATATCGATGGTGTGCGGGAAACTATCGGTTGTACAAAATGCACTATTCAAGTGTGCAGATTACCTTAATTGTTAGAATAGTTCCTCTTTCCAGTTGAAAATATGATTAAAGAAGCTACTTAAGCTCATGGATACACAAGGATTTTTTGTTCGTCTGTTTAATCCGCTTATCGATATGCGATACGTGTTGCTTCCGCATATCGATACAGCCAATACCACAGTTATTTCTATTCCGCTCATGTCCCACAGCTGATGGTACAACAAATAGCAAAATCATCCAAATTTGTATTGTTGTGCAAAATTTAAAAAGCTAATATTCGAATTTTGTATTTTGGGTGCCGTTGCATGCGGTGCAGAACATGATAGAGAAGTGCAAATGATCTGCTGGAGGAGCAGCTGGATAGTGCGATGCAGCTAGATCAAAAGATGGAGGACGAGCAGCATGAGCAAAGCTCGTCGCAGGAGCGCTTTGAGTTCAGCCCCCAAGCCATGGCCCCCGAGCTAATTAACGTGGCCAACCAGGACTGTGATGCACTGGCAAAGCTGGCCTACAATCTATACAAGCTGTCCAATGATGACCACATAGTCATTGATCGGTAAGTAAATAAATTCGTTCTACTTTTAACAAATTTGCGTAACTTGCGTCCGTCCATTGCCAGCAAGCGAAACGAAGTGATACGCACAGATGCCGTGACCAGTCAGATGACCATCTACCGCTGCCTGGATCCCATAGGCATGGGAATGCGCCCAGCGGAGATAAAACACATTCCTCTCAAAGTTGGTCGCCCACCGAAACGCATTCAGACTACACAGGCAGCTGCTGTGCCTCTACGACAGGTGCCGGCAGTGCCGTCTGAGGGCACACATCGTACGCGTTCCGGTCGCCTGGTGCGTCCTTCAATGCCGCAAACAGCGCCAGTTCCAACTGGCATTGCCTCAGAGCCAACATCCGCCCAGCTTTTGGAGGCATTGGTGGCTGATCTACGGGACAAGGACTATTACGCTCCGATGCCAGCCCCAAAGATCTCGCCCGTCAAGACTGCCGTCACCCAACGGTCTGTGCCCAAGAATGCCATTTGCCCGGGCTGCAACAAAATCTTCCTTGGCCGTCGCATGCAGCGTCATTTTGTCAAGTTTCCCGAGCACATGCCACGCCCATCAGAGCAGTCGCAGCACCCGCTGCAGAGTCAGCCACTTCAAGCCACGTCCCAGCCCCATCAGCCATCATTGTTTGGTCTTCTAACCACCCAACTGCAGCGCCACTCGCACCTCAGCGAGGAGCAGCGAGCCGATCTCTTCCTGCACGAGTTGAACGACTTTGTGGCACAACTGCAGCTGCGGAGCACACGCCTCATACGCAACACATCCGGCCTGCATTTTGTAAACGCGCGCATTGCCCGCGTCCTGGGCATACCCGAGGGCCAGTATGCCTTGGACATGTCAGCGATGGAGTCGGCACAGGCACCCACACCGGAGCCCGAGCAGCTGTTGCACGCGGGGCCAGTCGTTGGCGGTGGGCGTAACCTGGTCGACTACACCGGACTCAGCATGTCGCTGGATGATACGCTCACCGATGAGGCAGCCCAGCGGCTGAATCTGTCAGCGGGCGGCAAACTCCTGCCACCGTCCGAGGAAAGCTTGCTGCGAAATGTGAGCGACCTGATGCAGCCCCCAGTGGCCGGGGCACCACCCACCTTGGGACATGGCTACGATCATGCCAGCGACAATGCCGTGGAGGCGCTAAGCATGAAGGAGACACCCAATGCGGCAGCCATTCTAGATCTCAAAGTGGACTTTTTCCAATTCAATCCGAATTAGTTGGCTCTTTTGGCTGCTACATTTTGACCCACCCAGCCCTGCCCTACCCTTTACTCTTTAGAGTATTTTAATGAATAAGAAAAAACAGATTTTAATCTAATGCAAGTCCTCCAATCCTAGGCTAGGGTCACGCGAAGTTACTTGAAATTATTTATGAAGTTGCCAACATTAAACGATGCCCCAATGAATACGTAAACTTGAATTTTAAATGGATCCTACGCAGAGTACTCAATGCATCTGTAAATGTAGATTTACATATATATTTTCTTGTACAAACAACACAGAAACCATTGGGCAATGCAGGTGGGTGTTGGCTTTGATTTTCGACCTTTGGTGATTTTGAATTTGGACTTTATGGTTAGCAAACATTTGCATTTTCTGGTTGCCTTGCCCGGCACATTCAATTTGGCAGTTAAGGCTGCCAAATGGTCAACGCAATCGTTGCTGTTTGCCCACAGCCAATATGATTAGCACTGATGACCGGGAATGGAAATTGAAATTGAAATTGCAAGTGCAAGTGCCAGCTCCTGACCCTCTGCTATAAATGCACTGCGGCGACGACCCTGCCTGGTTAGTGGCATCATGAAGTCAGCATTGACGGACAGCAGGCGGCGCCTCCGTTCATCCTCTACCCAAGATGAGGACGATGATGAAACAATGTGCAGCAGAGCTGCCGTCAAGCGGAGCATTGTCTACTATCTCAAAAACAGCACACTGCATGGGCTCAAGTACATTGCCGAGGAGAGCATTACCATACCAGAGCGGTAAGTTATCAATTGACAATTGATTGTTGATGCATTTTTCGATCAATATTTGTAGCGTTTTCTTTGGCATTGCCTTTGTGCTGGTGGTGATGCTGTCGGGTTTCTTTATATCGAACGTGTACGGCAAGTGGAGCGCCTCGCCCATCATTATCTCGACGAGCGCCAAGCAGAAGCTGACCAGCAACATGCCCTTCCCGGCCATCACCATCTGCAACCTGAACCAGGCGCTGCTCAGCCGCGTGCAGCGCATCTCCCGCTCGAGCAGCAACTACTCGCTGCTCATGGGACTCTGCGATCAGGGCGGTGATCTGACCATCTCCTACATCGGCACCTGGAAGTACTTCAAGGCGATACTGGTGGAGGTGGCCCAGCCGTGCGACGAGATGCTGCTCTCCTGCAGATTCGGCTCCCGCCTGGAGCAGTGCTCCATGCTCTTCAATTCGATCCTCACCGATGACGGCCTCTGCTGTAACTTCAATGCCCTCGATCCCTCGTATCTGATACGGAACTACAGCGACGATGTGCGTCTGGAGCCGCCGCAGCAGAACGGCCGCTACGAGGCCATCGACTGGACAGCGGAGCGTGGCTATGCCAAGAAGCTGCCCGAGTTCTTCTATCCCCGCACCTCGGGCGGCACCGGCATACGCATGGGACTCACAGTGGTGCTGAATGCCTCGATAGCGGAGTATTACTGCACCAAGTCCATGAGCGTGGGCTTCAAGGTGCTCGTCCACAATCCGGCCGAGCTGCCGAAGGTCAGCAACTATGGCCTCATCGTGACGGCGGGCAGGGAGGCGCGCATACCCATTGAGCCCGTGTACGAGGATGCTCTGCCCACGATCAGATCGATCAAGAAGTCGGTGCGTCGCTGCCTCTTCTCGGACGAGAATGACTTGGCCTACTATCGCACCTACTCCCGCAAGAACTGCGAGCTGGAGTGCGAGGCGAAGCTGCTGCTGCGCGAATGCAACTGCGTCCTCTACTATCTGCCGCGTATCGATCCGGCGGCACGGGTCTGCGGGCCGAACGACAACATCTGCACGAATCGCGTCCAAACTGAGATCGAGTCCTCGCTGACGAATCTCTCCTGCGAGAACTGCTGGCCCGGCTGCTTCGAGCTGACCTACAAGGCCACCTTGTCCACCTCGTCCATCGTGTCGGATCCGCGCTTCCAGTCCGGCGAGGATCTGCCCGAGTACATCTTCAAGGGCGAGCACAGCAATGCCAGCGAGCTCTCCATACTTCACTTTTACTACATGACCAACACCTTTCGCAGCACCACCAAATCCGAGATGTTTGGCTTCACCGAATTCCTCTGTGAGTGTCAAAGAATCCCCGTTTCATGTCCACAAATGTCGATACCAAAACGTTTCCTTCCTAGCAAACACTGGCGGCCTGCTGGGCCTCTTTATGGGCTTTAGCATTTTCTCAGTGATCGAAATTGTCTACTACATCACGGTGCGTCCGTATTGCGCATCCCGCACGCTGCACCAACGCCGCCGACGTCGCCTCGAGCAGCTCCGCTGGCTGACGCCCATTCGGGCTCCAGGCAAGCAGCTGCAGCGACGCTTACGCCGACGCCGCCTGCTGCCACCTGTCTACAGCAAGCCGAAGCATAATCTCTGGCAGACGTTGCAAGTGCGACCGGCGGACACTGGGTCGGAGCCGCCCGCCTATCCCTACCTGGACTGAGGATGAGTTCGTCGAGTATTGATTCGAAGTCAATAAATAAACCAAAGCCAATGGCTGGGCCAACGAACGGGGTGGGCTGGTGATTGTTGGTTGCACGGGAAGCACAGACTGCGCCCACAACAATTCCCAAAAGTTACCCGATAATGGCGCTAATCGACACGCGACTCTCAATTTAATTGATACTTTGCTCGCGGTCCGTTTGCTGTCATTACAGAGACAAGTAAAGTCGCTCGATTGGTGCAGACAATGAGATTGAGGAGACATTCAATATAGCTGGCAGAACTCCCCTCATATTTGCAGAAATAAACTCAGATCCGCCTAGTATTTTACCATCAATATCTTGGCTACTGTCAAGCTCCTGCTAGGGTATCCAAATTTCGTATTCGGTGAAAGATAATTTTGGTATCATCGGGCAATTCCATTGGCATTTCGGCATTTTGCTTCTAACGAATTTCAAACATGACCAAAAAATATTCCGGGCCAAAAGCTTGCCTCTGATGTCACTCTCTCTCTCTCTCTCGGTCTCGTCATGTCTCGTATCTGTGGGATAGATTTTTACGAGCTGCCTGGTAGGAGATTTTTGAACACAACTGAAATGAGGGTGTTCTGTCCTCTCCCTCTTATCATCCTATTTTGTTGGCGCGTCAATGTCAAGTGGGGCAAGTGTCGGTTTCTGCGACTTCTTCACTTCACATCTCACATAGCCCTAAGTACATAAGTGCCTCTTGCCGCATGCCATGTGGCAGTGGCAGCATAGGCATAGGCAGAGGCATAGCCATAGGCATATTAATTCTGAGGGGCACACACAGGGCCATCCCCATTGCCTCTTCCCTGCTGCGCTTTATTACACGGCCAGCTGGAATATCTCACATAGCGCTTTCCAGTGTTTCCAATATTTTTCCGGTTTTTTTTTCCGTTTTTTGATTTTCAATTTTGGATTTCTGTTTTTCTGTGGGGTGGTGGTAGCCTCCGATAGAGTGTAAACAAACAAGTGCCGGGTACTACAAGTAGATCTTGCCAGGGCCGTCGGCAAAAAAAGGGAATGAGAAGGCGATGACCTGTGCCCCAAGTATCCTCGGCAACAATCAAATGTTCGAATCTTATATGTACCACAGATAGCATAGAAATAAAAGCAAGTACTTCTTACACACATTTCTTGTAGCTTTCCTTCGGTATTCAACTGAAACAACTGCTCTCTGTACTATTCCCTTGTGCTATTTTCTATCTGCCAGTCCATATAATCAATGTCTGTGGCCATATATTATTATCTGTCTGTCTGTCTGTCTGTCTGTCGGCCAGGCCATTTGACTTTCATTGCCCCGTAGTTGCTTTGCTTTGCTCATAGATTCCTCCGGTTTTATGGATTCGATGGTCTGTGATTCATTCGAAGCAGAAAAAGCAAACCAACAGCGTGACTGGACCGCACCGGCAACATGTGCTGCCGTTTCGGAGCAATTGATGGCCTACACCTACACACATGGTGCACACGACAACTTCTCTTCCCTTTCCGGTTCCTCGCAGAGTTTTATTCATTGATGAATTTTTAGGGTTTTAGCTGATTATTTTAAGGCAATTCCTTTATTGAGTAGAAGTTTTTCATTGCATTACATCTTACATTACAGGTCTCCTTACATTTGCCTTGACGACATCAAGCCGAAGCCCTCTCCCGCCTAAGTGACTGAGGGGTGCTGCTGCATGACGCGCGAAGCTGTCGCTGGAGAGACACGTACGCAGGTGTTGGGCTAAAATTCGAGCAAAATTACACCTAAACATGAAAATTACCAAAATATACCATCTAATAATTTGGGCCAAAAGGCAAACGTATAAGTTTAGTTCCTAAAATGTAGTTTCCATTCCTCGTTGTTTAATTTATTGTTATTGTTTATTGTTATTTAATTAAAAGCCGACCGAAGGGCGCACCCATAACAATAAAAAGACTCACCCACCTTACATAACCATACCGCACTGTATAGTACGCGTAGTACTCACGGACGTACAATGTTTATGCAGAGGGAACAGCCATAATAGACGAGCCGCAGCAACAATTGGCCATCCCACGTGGTGGATTTGGATATTTGTAGATTTGGATGTGGATGTGGATGTGGATATGAGGTGGCAACGCATCTCATTCCGTGGCATTTTCGTTTCTTATGGGAGCAGCAGCGGCAGCAACAGCAGCAGCGTCATCCTCTGCCACAACCGGCGACGTCGCTGCTGCTGCGCGGCTGCTGCGGTGTGTGAACGGGCAGGCATCCTCGGCGGTAACTGAGAATTCAGTCAGCGAACGAACGTCGCGAATGCCGCCGCCGCCGCCAGACGAAGCTCTTGCAGAAGTCTCTCAAGGCATGCGCAACATCTGAAACCGCAACGAACCCAGTCGAGTGTCCAGCCAAGTGAAGCCTCAGTGCCCAGCCAAATCCAAGCCAAGACGTGTTCAATTCTCATATTCCCCATTCATCATTAGAATAGTTTACAATTTTGGACAATTTTTTTTGTATTTTTTGTTGTGTTTGCATTGGCATAAACAATTTAAAATACATTTGTGCGTCTGTCACAGCTTCGGAGGTGTCGCGGCTGACAGCTAAGAAGAGCGGAAGCGAGAGAGGAAGTGTAAGATAGAAAGAAAAAAGAAAGAGCAAGTTGCAAAATGCATTCCACGGCATGCGGCGTTGGAGCCTCAGCCACAAATCTATCAACACTGCAAGCGTAAGTTCAGTAGAATTAATATTAAAATGAATAAATAAACCATTAAATGTTAAAGAAATACAAATAATGTCCACAGATTGAGCAAAGAATTCAAAATTATGAAGGTTCGTTCCAGTGGATGCAGCCTGTTTCTTGGGTATTCAGACATCAGTTAAGTCCTTAACTAGATTTTATTAGACAATATTGAGAGTTGCTTAAAAGAGACTTAGAAGCGAAGGTCAGGTAAAGTCTCGATTAGATAGATTTTGTTCATCATTTAACAAATAATTGTCTATGTACATAGCTGTGTATTTGTATGCTCTTTTTAGGAGCGTCGAATAATCTGGTATCTTGTTATAGCTAACCAAAATCACAATTCAAACCGAAAATGTTTACATCTGCGGCGCAACAAAAAAGGAAAAGAAAAGAACAAAAAGACTAGAAAAGAATTCCGCTCAAACGGATTCAAGCTAATCAAAGATTGAAATTGTTTCAAAATTGTTTACACTTACATATTGTAGGTATGAATGTACATCCGATTAGATAGGTGTATACATTCTTAAAAATAGTACGGACGTAGAGAGAGCAAGTCTTGGCATGATTTTATTTTCGTTTTGGTGTTTTTTCAACTTTCAACTTAAAGTTTTTTGTCGATTTCAATGGACCGCAAAACAATCCATCAAAGATGAAAAAGGAAATGCAAAGAACAGAAAAATCAACAAGGAACATTTTTGTTTTTTGGTTGTATTTTGGTCGAGAAGGGGGGTTTGGGTGGAAGCGGATGGGAGAATGGTGCGGTTAAATGGGGTTGGGGGTCCCATGCTGTGCTGTAAAGTAGCTCACAAGAAGCCGAACAATGTAAACAAATGACTGCACTGCCCCTGCTCTAGACTGTACCGTACCAAAAGTCCCCTTCCAACACTTTCAGCCTTCAGCCTCCCCCCTTTTCCGTTTCTTCCAACCATAATGTGTGTCAGACAGTCTGAAAATAGTTGCAGGATGATTGAGGGCGGGAGCATGGCCTGGCTTACTATGCATATACAAATGTACATATTTATGTATATATGTACATGGCATGTAATGCGCAATGAAGGAGCAAGCAGGGTGTAAAGATTGTGCAGGGGGCATGCCACATGAAAGTGCAACAGCACTTGAATAGAGGAAAAACATTTCCTCAACCAATTAATGAGTATGCTAAGAGCAACCACACCCCCCCCACCGGCAAAACACAGTTGCAGATAGAATTGATGCTGGCGAGGGGAAGATGTGGTGGCAAGTGGCTGATCAAGTGGACCAAAATTATGCACGTTGAGGAGCAGCCCAAGGGCATTCGGTAAATGATTTTGTCATCACGTCGGCGTGGAAGTGGAAGTGGAATCCGACATCGGCCAACGCAACAAAATGTATTGATAAATTTCGTTTGGACTGGGACTCGACGGCTGCTGCTGCTGCTCGATTGTCTGCTCGCTGCATTCACACCTATGAAAAATAAAACAACATTAAAATAAAACCAAAAAAGACTCGATTGGGTTCGGCCCAAAGCCATTGATGGGCAGTGGCTTAAGATTCCACCTACATAATTAAATACACATTTACATATGTACTATGTACAGTAAACGCTCGATAGGCAGTTTCAAACCAAAGTGCTACAGTGGGTGATTTAGCTCAACTAGTCCAAGTATTCTTGGGTTCTTTTACTCAGTCTCGTACTTACGCGTCGTACCTACAGTCCAGTCCATTGCGTTCCATTCCATTTTGTTTCATTGAACTTCCAGCGTATTTCGATCTTCAACAGTGGCCGACCGCCCACACACTCATACCATACACGCATGGACAGTGGCAGCAGAGATTCAGTATGGAAGTCCATTCCGCTGTTGGTGATGCACAGTGGAATAAGCCGGTCAAAGAGTGCCAATCGACTTCGGTCGTCATTTCTCGTGATGTATGAACCGCAATTAGCCCATTGTCATGATGGATTGTGATACCGCCCACCTATCTACATATGCATATGAATGAGTACATGTATGTACATACATATGATGTATGCGAGTTCGTGTCAAGTACACTGCTCGCTGCATCGCTCGCTCTATGTACCTCCCTTGTGCTCCGTTCCCTTGCCTGAGTGGCTCCTAACTGTACCACAACTGCTGATAATTTGTACAATTTGTTGACACACATTTCAATTTTTGCGTTTGTCGTCGTTTGTGGCTGGAAAATTGCATGCTTTTTCCCCTTGCGGGCGCCAGCACGCCATCTGTTTGGACATGCATCCACGATCATCCTCCTCCGCCTACACACATACATATGCTCATGTGTGAGTGTGTGCTTGTGTCTGCTCTGCTGTTTAAGTCTGCGTCTTATCGGACCCGGCACTAGCAAAATGTCAAACTGCAGCGGAAATCTTCGTCCCTCCACACAAACGCACGCACGCATGTACGCAGCGGATGTGTGGAGACACTGGCGATGATGCGATGAATGTGATGACCAGCGAAATATGCAGAAACATACATACATAAGACCTGCCCACTTGCTTGCATAAACACAAACACATAGACAGGCCTGCAACATTGCACCTGTTCCAGGGATTTGCGAATTTCCAGAAACTTCCACAAGCAATCGTGGAATGTGTGAGACGTCAGGAAGGGCACAGAACAGATGGGAACACAGTGGATACATTAAAGAGGAACTAGACAAAGGAATTACAGTGGGATTTCCAGTAATCGATAAGGACACTGCAGTGCAGTTCTACACAGACTTTTTATCTCCGTTGAATTATGGTTAAATGTCTCGTAATGCAATTGTGTTCACTGTGTGTGGCGCATTTTCCGGTTGTGGCGGATCTAGTGTAGCAATCAGAGATGGATTGTGTTGGTCACTTCGATGATGTCATGGAGTTGTCTGTCATATTCCTATTCCTACCACGTTATCATTTTCGTACCGATTTGTTCTTGTTTGTTTCGCTGGGCGCCTACCTCCCCCTCTCCATCACACACTACCCCACTCCCACACCCACACTCTGTGTGCGTTCACTTTTGTGTGTCACTGTCAACAAATTGCTTTTAATGGCCTGCCGGCGGGTGGGTGGTTGGTTGGTTGGTTGCTTTTTCTCCGCCTAAAACGACAATCACGCCTCCAAAGTGACAATCGGGGTAGAGCTCAATGCGTTCCCCATTGCGTCCCCATTCCATCCCATGCCGTCCATCGGGGTCGCCTAATTTTCGTGATTTCCGCACGCCAGCAACAATTTGCAGTGCAGCATAGAAGCAACAGTAAAACAACAGCAGCACTAGAAGCAGCACTGGCAGCAGCAGCAACAGCAACAGCAGCGACGCAACGACGCAGCGACGAAGCGACGAAGTTGCCCACTCGGCTAGACGAATCGCAGAGGCTGCCTCGGCCTCGGCCGCGGCCGCGAACCCATCCCGTTCTTAATTCAGTTGACCAGACGACGTCGCAGACGCGACACGCGACTAAATCAGCATAATAAACGGCTAAAAAATAAATATAATTGGGAAACATAGAAGAGTTATAGTTATAGCAGATATACATATGTACATAAAGCCATTGATGTATATATACATCGAGGAGAATGCCAGTGATTTTCACGCGTCTACAATAAATAGTGCGCTGTGCAAGAAACGCGCGCGTTTTTGAAAACCGCACCAAAACCGCGCATAAAACCAAACAAAAACCCACTGAAAAGGTGACAAAAAACCACAATATATACAAAAAAAAAAACAATTTTTTATTACATTTTTTGTTATTGTTGTTGTTGTGCGTGTGCGTATCAGGCCAGGAAATTTCAATTGCAACAAATAAAAGCAAAAAGAAAAAGAAACGGAAACATAAAAAAAGGTTTTATTTCTGATGTATGTATGAACAGATGTACAAACATACATGTTGATTCTTGGGCCGGCATGCGTCGCCAGGTTCGCCCACCTGAAACGAGAAAGATTAAAAGAAGGCAATCCATCGATTTTGATACACTGCGACAGATTTTTGCCAAATGTACACCAGCTCGAATGATACATATTTAAATATTTGCATAAATATTTCTATGATTTGATACATTGCTTGCTGCAGTATCTTTCTTATATTCCTTGTACTCTCTGGAAAGGGTATAAAAACGTTGGCGACAGCAGCAGTGTCAGTAGAACCAACAAGTCCAAGTCCAAGTCTAGGGCAACCATCCTCTCCGGTTGGCACTGCTCTGCTCTGCCGGCTGCTCTTTGTGTGCTTTGTGTGCTTTTCGTTTCATTTCAAAATTATTAAGCATATTTATAAATAACCAAAATAAAACAGAAAATCAGCAGGGGCAGCAGCAACAAAGAGTCGAGAAAACGGCAGAATGAAAACCAAATAAATGCCAGACGCCAATAATGCCGCCAAATGCGTGGAGCGGGCACACTTGTTGAGATGCATTCATTTCTGCTGCTCGATGTTGATTTTTGCTGTTTCTGAAGGCCATCCCAGAGAGTGTCTGGCCAAGAACAAGAATGAGGGGACACAAAAGAGACAAACAGAGAGAGAGAGAGAGAGGGAGAGACCGGGTGACAGACAGTTCTTCTAGCTGCTAATTTGTCGAAATTCTTGAATAATTTCGTATATGCTCCGTTTCATAAATGAACAAAAAAATATAAAAAATATAAAATATAAAAAACTGTTAATTCTGAGTTACCTGCAATTGCTGTGGTTTCAGAAATGAGTCGAGGAATTGCTTTTACTTGGCAAACATCCAGAAAATACTTTCCCTCCCACTCCCACACATGTACTTATGTACTACATATGTGCGTCTAATTCCAATTGTCAGGTGTAGGGAGTTTTGGATAAAAGTTTCAATTTTAATTATAGATCAGAGAGTTTCTGTTGGTCCAACAAATAATGGCATGCGAATGATTTAGTCGCTTCAAATGCATTTACATATTTCTTTTCTTGAGTCTGCATATAGTAAAAGTTGCCATTGAAAACCTTCCCTATGGCCATAACATTTTAATTCTTTACTCAGTCCCTGACGAATTTGACAAGCAGAAGTTTAGTGAAAATTCATTTCCAAAGACAAACCAACAAAAAATGTAACTCAATACTCAATAATTTTAAGTCAATTCTCTCGCAGCTAAAGAAATACAAACACATGTACACGGACATTTCATTTGTGAAGCGAAACATTCTACTTTAATCCCGTGAGGTAATTCAATCAGTGCCACACATCTAAATTTGAATACGTTTAGGGGGAACACGTGCATGGAGAAGCAGAATTTGAGATTCTTTTTGACTTGTCATTTATCCTTTGTGGCGCATACATATTTACATCAATTCGTACATATGAACATGTAATTTGTGATAATAGTGACCTTCAATTGTGTGAGCCGCCCATCCCTTCCTTCGGGTGTGCTCGGAAAGGGAAGCGGCGGGTGGCGACCATTCTTTGATCCCGCGAAATGCTGTGGATGACACGCTTCAGCACCTCCTCCTCGTACTCCTATCCCCATACCATCCTATCCTATCCATTCAGAGCAAGTGCAGTCTTTATCTAGCTCAATTCTAAGAAGCTCTCTCAATTGCTTCACAGATCTTGAATGTGACAGACTCTGACTGGGGCTGGGGCTGGGGCTGGGGCCACTTAGTCTAACAGTAATGGATGCTAAACGCTGTTTCGTTTTGGGAAGCCATTGAGGCTGCTGTCGAGGCTGCTGATTGCTGACAACTTAATCAACAGCAGTGGCAGCAACAGCATAAGGCATCTCTCCGCAGCTCCCTCAGCCTGGATTTCCATTCATACATCCATATTGTTATATGTATACTTGAGCAGATATAATACCCGACACTGTCTCTGGCCATGCCAGCTAATCTGTACTCCCTCCCCCCCCCATTCACACTCTCTCTCTGTCTATCGACAATACCCATATACACATGATATATGCACCCGCATGTCTGCCTGTCGTGAACCACAATACTTATCTGTGGAGAAACGGCCCTGAACTTTGGGCGAGATCAATTTGCACTGTCACGAATGGGATCGGATTGGATTGGATTGGAAATGCGAAATGTGTCAAAATAGTAGTACTCAGCCGCACAAATAATATCAACTCAGGCCAGCAATAGCAACAACAATGAGAGACGACACGCTACTGCCAATGGCATTGGCATCTCTGGGCTGATCTGCCTTCTAAATGCCAGATCATTGTTTGCTGTACTCCATGGGAATACTTATTCTCATGCTGGCTGCCATGCCCTCTCCTTATCTCTTTGAAGATTGCTTCGACACTTTTGGTTAATTGTTGGAAAGATAAGCTTTAGATAATGCAATGCACGACCCCCGATCTGTATCCGAACTGCACTCCCGAATCAGCTGAATGTTGTTGTTTGGAAATTGGAAATTTCTTGTTCCTTTTTTTGACCCTATCATTTTGCTGCATAAACAGTTCAGAGCTGACTCATCCATAAAGCTGAATGAAGAATGGGGACACTCTCTGTTGATGTCTTTCAGTGCACGGCACTGGGTACATATTTCACTTTTGGTCAGTTTTCGCTGCTGCTGTTGTTGTTGTGGCCAAAGCAAACATTAACATTTTTATGCACTGCAATTTGAAAATGTAAGTGGGTCGCATGTAGAGCCCACTCCACCCATGTCTTTGGTGCGGTGGATTGATCATCATTCGGACCTGACTTTTATGTACATACATAAGTACACATCACCCCCCCCCTTTGCCAGGCCACTCCCTTCCGTCCACACTCCAAATTTGATTTATTTGCGCTCGTCTTCGTGCATTTTAATTGTATTTGTTGTCAAATTGTTGTTGATTTAATTGCCCGATCTAAAATGCAAATGGAATTTCGTTTGTTGTATTTTCTACGCCCGATCGACCGTGATCTATGGCTATGGCTATGGCTATGGCTATGGCCCCTTGGCGCCTCTTCCTCCATCCGCCACTTGACTTGGTAATTGAAGGCTCTTTTATGGCATAATTATTTCGAAATTATATTTACCAGCATTCTCGCCGCAAGTTGAAGTCCAGCTCGGCTAGTCTTAGCTAGTGGCTTTCTCTCAAAACGATGTATAAGTATTTCACGCACTGTACCAGATGACCTCTGTCACTGGCTGCCCAATGCAGAGGAAGCTCTGATAAGCAGCAGTCGGCACAGATGACAGTAAGTCCACGATGCATTCAATCATTCTCCAAGAAAATGTTTATAAAGATATCTGCAATACACAGAGAGAAACTGTACTGAATATTCACTCATTGTCGCACTGTAGTTCGTGCCCATAAGTGCCGGACCGTAGCTTCATTTCTTTATAAATGTTAAGTTGAAATTTTTGAAATTTAAAATTAATCATTAATCGACTCACGTACAGCTAATAATAATGACAATCAATTCCGATTTTCAATCGGTTGTCATTCCGAATTTGTCTTTGGGGGGCGCTGCGCATGCGCCAAAAACTGACATCCGTCCACACGGATCAGACAACGGCAAAGAAGCGGCAAAAAAGGCAGTCGAAATAAAAGGTATACGATGAAAGTTTTAGGGATCTACAGACAAAGGGGAAAGCTTTTGAATGTAAACTGAACGAGGAAAACATTTGATTTAAGCTCTCAATGAGTAGAACACTTCCCTATAATTATAATGGATACATTGAAAGGAGGATGAGTGGAAGAAATATTTAGTGTCGCTTGGGGAAAATAAATACATTACCAGGAACGAGAAACCTGAGCAAAAAGGAAACTTGCTGAAGCAAAAGTTGTTCCATTGACTGACATGCGACATGGCATCGCTACTCAATTGTGGCTTCCTTCTGGGCGTAGTTTAGTGGGTGGATCGTAAACCTAAACTGCATTCCCCGTGCCACATAATTGTTGCCTTGCTTGCTGGTTCATGCGTCTACGGCGAGCTGCAATTAAACGAGAATTAAATGAAGTTAAATGCAGGTGACCTAAAAATGCAACAAATGCCTGCCAAGTGCCATGCCAGCCCGTGGCATGCAACAAAAGCTACATACAGTACGTCTCAAGAAATGATGATGCCTTTGGAAAGGGTGCGGTGACCCAGTGCCAAGTAGAATTATTTGAAACTTCTTCGTTTTTTTGCCTTGAAGAATGGTATCCTGCAGCCTTAGATCATCATTTTGCAGGTTCAAGTGATCTATTTGGCGGCAGCACACTGTATTTTGTGTGTTCCAAAGGCAAGTGTCGTCATTATCGGCAGCAGTACGAATTGCGAGTAACAATTAAATCGTGGCCGCAGGTCAGGTCCGGCGGTGCAAAAGTTCCGTTTGATGGCTTATCCATAGCTGTGGCAATTAACCCAAATTTCTGGGTGCATTGACCACCCATTGTGGTGCACCACGAGCCACCACAAGACCACGCAAGGCTGCAATCACAACATTCAATTATGGTTATGGCCGAAACAACAAAGGAAAAGCGCAGGAAAAATGCATTAAAGGCGATTGCGGCCTGCCCTCTGCCTCTGCCTCAGCCTCTGTTTCTGCTTCTGCTGCTTCTCTGTTTCTGTTTTCTGTTTTTTGCTGTGCTGCCAGCTGCGACGCTGCGACGCTGCGACGCTGACGTGTGTCTGACCCATTTTCAAAGCGGCACGCCCACCCCCACACAGGCATGCACGCACACAACTACATGTACACATACATATGTATACACACATGTATATGTATGTATGTATAGACCACATCCTGCCATCAAAGTTGCCGATGACGACAGGGCGCTGTCCTCGTTGTCGTCGTCGCTGCTGTCGATTGTTGAAGAGTTTGAAAACAGCTTGCGGGGAAGCATGGCGGGGTGTGGGTGTTGGGTGCTGGGTGCTGGGTGCTGGGGATTTTGTAGTCAACTGATGGAGGATTGCTGGCTGGCTGCTGGCGAACATGAAAGTTTGATTTCAGTTTGCTTTGTGGCCTGCTGGCGAAAACTGTTGCATACCTCCAGGCGCTCGCAGACATTAACTGTTGCTCTCTCTCTCTCTCTCGCTCTCTCTCTGCAGCAATACAGCTGCAACAGGAACGACCGCAAGTGGACCGGTGGCAACAGCAGATGCCCACAAAATGGTGCACCACAGCAACGAAGATGCCATGAACAAGATTCCACTGAAATCGGCAAGCGGCCTGGACTCCGATGAGGAGAAGAATGGCGGTGAACTAATGCAGGATACAACCGCAGCTGAGGAGGCGAGACGTGAAAAGATGTGAGTTCAAGTTTATGCCCTCCGTTTATGTGTGTATTTATGTGTGGTCCTTGTTGCAGGCGTGCCAAACTGCTCGCCTGGATGAAGAAGCTGACCATTGTGCTCATCTGCTTCATTGGCATTGCCCTCATCAGCTACGTCATCATCAGCCTCTGCTTCAGTGGTGAGTACAGATCGTGTGGGTTGTGGGATGGGGCAGCAGGATCGAGGCAATCACACACCCAGCTAACAAGTCACTCACCCAAAAGGCAAACTAAACCACACACAAACACACACAGACAGACCAGAGACAGACAGACAGACGGACAGACAGACGGACGGACGGACAGACAGACAGACGGACTGACACTTATCGTTATCGATATCGTTGCTTTCTCTGCATGCTCCGATCCATTCTAACCAAGCACCAGGCATTTAATCAAGCTCAAAATAATTTCTTCTATTGTGGCACCAAAAAGTATTCACATGAAAAAAAAACCAAAACGTAAAACTTTACACCCTAACCTCACCTAACTACAACTGCAACTGCAACTGCAACTGCAACAACGAAGACTGGCCAAAATCGACGCCATATAGAAACAGCACAACAACAGCAACAACAACAGAAACAGCTGCAACAGCTGCAACATTTGTTGCAACAAGCACAGAGGCAACAGCGACAGCAGAGGCAACATTTGAAATTGCAAGTAGCACGGCACCAGCACCACCACCAGCACCACCAGCAACTACAACAATTAGCACAACAACAACAACAACAACAACAGCACTACAACAACCACCAACAACTGCAACTGCAACTGCAACAACAACTACAACAATTGCAACAACAACAACAACAACAACAGAAAGCCACAAGACACTTAACAGATTTACTTTAACAGATGAGCAGTCGCAGGAGCAGGATCAGGACACCGATCAGCCAACACCTATTGGCAATCTCAATCTCCTCGATGATGGACCGATGGGCGCAGCCACCACCCCTGCTGGGGATGCCGACACACTGCCCAATGTGGCCGCCTCAACGTCAGCGACAGCGGCCACGCCCACACAGTTTGCGGATCAGATTGCCATCGATATTAGCGAGAATTTCAGCTCCATTTTGGGTGTCTACCAGAAGGCAGCCGTGAGCTCGGACAATCTCGAATGCAGCAAGATTGGCAGGTGAGTGAATGGACATGGACATCAATTTTCAAACTCCAAACTCCAATCAAATTGATTTGCCAACCCTCAGCGACATACTCTCACGGAATGGCAGCGCTGTGGATGCGGCCATTGCCGCTCTCCTGTGCAACGGTCTGCTGACGCTGCAGAGCATGGGCATTGGCGGTGGCTTCTTGATGAACGTTTACAGCCGCCAGGAGCGGCACGCCACTTCCATTGATGCCCGCGAGGTGGCGCCCTACGCCGCTGAGCCGGACATTTTCGACAAGAGTCCGGAGCTGTCGATCAGGGGACCCCTGAGCATTGCGGTGCCCGGCGAGGTAATGGGCTACCATGAGGCGCACACCAGATTTGGCCAACTGCCCTGGGCGGACCTTGTGGCGCCATCGCTGAAGCTGTGCGAGGCTGGCTATCACGTGTCCAAGCACATGGCGAGGGCACTGAAAATCGTTTGGCCATTCATCAAGGAGCAGGAGCACTATAAGTGAGTATCCCACGCCTTAACATACTCTTCGATGCTCAAATCCATTCACTTTCCATTTAGAATTTATGCCAACAAGGAGACCGGCCTGCCGCATGCCTCGGGCACTGTGGTGAAGCCACCGAAGCAGCTCTGCGAGTCGTACAAGCTGCTGGCCGAGAACGGACCACTGGACATGTACAACGGCACCTTGGCCAAGCTGCTCGTGGAGGATCTGTCGGAGTTGGGCAGCATCATAACCGGCGACGATCTGCAGTACTATTCCGCCGATGTTGTCCACTCGATAACCATGGAGCTGGGCGAGGATACGCTGTATGTGGTGCCGCCCGTCAGCTCTGGCTCTGTGGTGGCACATGCGCTGAGCATCCTGCAGGGCTACAACCTCACCAGCGAGGACTTGGCCAGCGAGGATCTGCGTGCCCGCACCCTTCATCGGTTTGCCGAGGCCATCAAGTTCGGGTTTGCCCATCGCTCGGAGCTGGGCGATCTCCACTTTATCGATGTGCGGGAGCTGGTCAGCAAGCTGAATAGTCCGGAGTTTGGGGCACAGAATCGCGCCAAGATCAACGACAGTCACGTGCTCGAGGGTCCAGCGGCCTACGGTGCACAGTTCGGTGCCAATGGGGATCCCGATGGCACTGCCAATTTGGTGGTTCTGGCACCCAACGGGGACGCCGTGTCGGTGACCAGCTCGGTGAATTCTTAGTGAGTTCGATGGGGTTTCCTTTATTCCTTCTTATTTGTATCTACTGCTCCTTTGCAGCTTTGGCTCGTCGCTGATTGGACCGCGGACTGGCATCGTGCTGAACAACGGCATGAACGACTTTGCGGTGGAGAACAACTTTTACGGACTGCCCGTCTCGCAGGCGAACACCATAGCGCCCCACAAGCGGCCCATGTCCTCGCAGTCGCCACTGCTTCTGGCCGACAGGGCGGGCGACATTCGTCTGGCCATTGGGGCGGCCGGCGGCGCTCGGATCATTCCCGCTGTGGTGGAGGTGGCGGCACGCGTCCTGTGGTTCGGACAGGACCTGAAGACGGCGATAGATGCACCGCGCGTGTACCACCAGCTCATGCCCGATGTCCTGGAGTACGAGAAGAGCGGCTTCTCCGACTCGCTGCTGCAGCTGCTGTCCAAGCGGGGACACGTCCTCAAGCCGATCGAGAACGACCTGTCATCGGTGGTCACGGCCATAGCGAGAAATGCCACGGCTGTCTATGCGAATGCCGATTATCGCAAGCGTGGCGGTGTTGCCGGTTTTTAGATGTCAACGCCTATTCCTCCCCCCCCCCCTCTACCACTCGCACACATCCTTCCAACACATTCACACACACACACACACCGCATTGAGATTAGATAAGCAAAAAGCAACAGCAATTGATCGAGAATGGATGGATTAATGGATTGATGGGGCTGACGGATGGACGGGGCTCAGCATCAGGATGAGAATCAAGAACAGGATCAGCGCATCAAGTGAACAAGTATTTAAGCTAGCTATGTCTTTTTTTACATACTATGTTAATCGTACGTTACATAAATTTATATGCTACTACCTAACTACTACCTTATACAATAAACAAAACAACAACAAACACAATTGTCACTCTCTTGCTGTCTCGTGGGTGTGCCGTGTTGGGGCAAGTCCCTGCAGGAGGACTATGCTGCAGCCTCGAGCGACAGGAGCTGAAATCTCAACCCAAAGGCAACTTTATTTTGTACACACAAAGCAGCTAGTGCCTTAAAAGTTAGTTTACAAACTAACAAGCTTGAGGCTTGAGCAACCTCGGCTTTTGGTTGGCTTCAACTCAAAACATGTTGATGAAACTACTGATAATTCTAATTGGTTATTTATGCACCGAAGTGGTGACCAATTCATCCACTCTTCAGGTGTTTGTTAACCGGTACAATGCTTACGGAAGAGCAAATATAATTACAACATTGGAGACGGTGCAATTGGCGTGGTTCACCACCAAGGTGGTCATGAACAAAATGATTCTGGTTGATTATTTTCAGACAAATGCGAGCGAGGTCCAAGGGGCATTGGCCTGGTATCGGACAATAAACCTGCAGCAAACACTCAATTATTATGGCGTCAAGATAGAAAAGAATCTAACCTACACCAAGGGATACTTTCATGTGTCGAAAACGAAGTTCTTCTCGAGTGGGTTCTATCTGATTGAATCGGCAATCACAACTGAGGGCATCTTCTCGAGTGAGCTGAAAGCGACGACCTATACGGTCGTTAAACTAATCCAGGAGAACGCCTGTGAGCCCAAATTTGATATTGCCAACTGTCACGACTCCAATCGGCCCCTGTACTATGAAGCATCCAAGGAAATTGTCATACGAGCCAACTTCTCACGCTTCTGCCCCATGGATTCATACATACAATACCATTGGACGCTACACGATAGCACCGACTCAAGTAAGCACCGATTCTCTCGGCCCACAATAAACCTCGATATACCGATTGGGTGTGTTTATTCACAGAACTTTTGCAATTCTTGGGTGCCACATTGAGGCCAGAAATAAAACTATCCCGACACCGTTTGACCGTGCGTCAACAGTCGCCGCTAAGTCGCATTGTTTTGGTACGGATGAATGCGAAAATTGTGGGACGCAGGATACCACTTGTGGCGAGGGTAATTATGAATTCATCAACAAAATGTTTGCCATTTCAAGAGGGTTTGCTTTTATCTTTAGTGCTATCTTTCGTTGGCGTCACAACGACTATTTCCGGTTATTCGTGGTGGAAATTATCGAGAAGTTTTCCGTGGCAAAACAATATCCATTAGCGGCATCCTCAGCAGAGATCTTTCACTATCCCCCACAGGACCTCAGCATCTAATGTACCAATGGTCGTGTAGACCCAGACTGAAGCAGCTGAAAAAAGTGTGTATAAGGAATATGGGAACGAGTAAGAGATTTGATTTGACGCTACAAAAAGTGACATAGAATATGCTGATTGTGTGTGTGCTCCGCAGGACATCGCATTGTTATCCCTGCATATAGTCAACCGAAAAACCAGACGCTGCGCATAAGGCTGCTGTTACGTTCCGCATTCGATCCCATTCGCACCGCCACTACGCGGCAGAAATTGGACTTTTCCATTTCGCCGCATCTGATCAACGTGGATGTGGACTGTGTCAAGAACTGTGACGAGGACAAGTACAATCCGGGGCAGCCGATTCACGTGCGGGGCAAGTGCGAGGGCATTGGCAACAAGAACATCACCAAATGGGAGTGGCGCGTGGACAACAAGCCAGTGAAGGCGCACGCGAATCGGCTGGTGTACACTGAACTAGATGGCCAGAAGTCTAGCCTCAGCATCCATCTGCACGTGGAGGCAGCGCATCTGTATAATCCCAAATACAACTATTACGGACAAGACTGGATCAATTTGGAGAGGAATACTGGCCCCAAGAACACGAAATGCACGGTAACCCCACCCGAGGGTCTGCCATTTGAGACACTCTTTCTGATCCAGTGCGACCGGAGTAGGGCACGCTTCATGCCACTGCGCTACGGTGTGGAGGCCAACAATGTTCTGATAGTGGACTGGCAGTCAAATCGGGAGATACTGCTGCGACTTGTGCCCACACTTAAAGTAACTGTAAAGGTGTGTACCGTACAGCAGGGCAGCAGGGGTGTCGGACGCAGCGCTCACACGTTTGTATGCAATTGTGCACAGGCCATAATCAGCTCGTGAGTAACGGGATCGTCACCATGCATTCAGCTTTCAGAGCATTGCACAGAGGGAGAGAGTGAGAGAGGGGTAGGCACGCAGCCACACACGAACAACAGTGCACTTCTGCACTTCTTTCACTCTTAACTTCTACAACAGAGACGAAGCCCAAAAACGTTTCTTGCTTCTCTGCCGCTGCGCCATCGCTATGGCAAGTGGTTTTTCTGCCGCTGCGCTGCGGTTGTTCGCTCTTCGTATGCCCGAACCTACACGAAGCTTTTAAGCTGTGCGTGTGACGACTGCGCTGCCCGAAATGCTTGTCCCAAGCAAAGTGCACACGACGCTGCCAACCTCCGATGTACAGCAATTAAAGCTTTAATTCTCCTGTCTCTGTCCCACAGATATGCGATAAGCTTGATGTTTGTGAAAGTGTTGAGCTTAACGTACGGATCAGGAAAGAGTTACCTGAAGGTGGTAATCCTGCCATTCTGATTCAAAATATGGCCAGAGCGCGTCACTTTTTGGAGTATGCCGACTGGCAAAAGGCCTATCCACTGCTGAGTCTGATATCCAATCTGATAAATACCAAGGAGATGCTCGTAACTTTCACGGAAACTCTCTCCGTGCATGTGCCCCAGACCACCGTGGAACTGACGCAATTGGTGCGACTCACCAAGCACGTGGTGGCCGCCATAGAGCCACTGGATGACATGAAAGCTGTGGTGCTGGCACGAATGTTCAACAGAATCACCGCCACTTACAAGGTGATAGTCGAGGGCAATGATCTCACGCTGCTGGACGAGCACTTTTACCTGATGACCGACGACATGTGCGACATGCTGGACACCTTCAACGCTGAGTGGGAGTACATACCGAAGGCGCACTGCCTCTCGGAGTCGGAGTCGTGCATAAACATCAATCACTTTGGCAAGCGCCTGGAACAGCTGTCGTCCCTGCGGCCACTCCTCGAGCACGTGGACAGCTGGATGTACACACACTGGAAGCTGAGCAATTGCCTGGTTTACATGGGCATGGAGACGGCACGCCGTCTGCACCCGCGCGAGGGTCCAAGGATAATTGAAAGAGACAGCTTCAACATCCGCATGGAGAGCTTCGATCTGGACTACGAGCACACCCTCAAACTAGAGTCCGGAGACTCCATGCACACGCTGGCCTTATCGTGGAATCTGCTGCGGGAACTGCGCCGCAAGCTGCGCAACAATGAAGTTCTCATATCCGTGCGCAGCCACAAGGTCAGCCAGTACTGGTTTTACCCCAAGAAGCGATCGCGCACACAGGAGCTGGTGGTGAATGCCTTTACAACGAGTGCCATGTTTCAGCCCACCGAACAGCTTTCGGAGCCACTCACATTCTTCTCCAGGCTGGAGACCATTCCTTTCACTGACATTCCCGCAAGAGGGGTAAAACTTCCACGTCGCGAGCCAGTTGACCTCATTGGTGGCCCCGAAGAGGAGGCTCATGCTGTCATCCATGACAATGTGTACACCCCATTCGAGGTGCGAATGTATCGCACCGAGATTTACGCTCAATCCGTGCTCAAGGTGACATTTATCCGGGCGCAAATTCCCTTCAACGTGCTGATACGCATGACAAATGTGCCCAAGCTGGAGGACATGGACACTCGTGGCGCCACCTGCCAGGTGAAGTATGGAGTTTCGCAGAGAACAGATTTCTTACTAAGAAATCGATGCACTGAGGCGCGTTCGGCATTCATTTATCTGCGTGCCTCGAACCCGGCTGAGCCCTGGAATACCTTTGAGCAGAATGGTGCCTTCTTCTCGTTCGCCACAGAGATCCATCTCTGCCGCGCCTGGAACTCATCGGGCACCGAGCACAGCTGGAGCAAACTGCCCTGCATGCCCGACATGATCAAGAGCACAAACTCGGGCGTCCACTGCCGCTGCAATGTCATCGGTGACTTCGATGTGGACGCTATGCCCATCATCACTGTGCCGGTGAACATCAAATGCCACTTGGATCGGCCAGTGGTGACGCGCCACTATGACATGCTGGTCCTGTACACGCTGCTTACCGTCCTGACTGTCATCTACATCATTATTTACATGCGCAAAATACGCAATTGGGACAAGCGGCTGTATGTGATGAACTATACGACGGGGCAGCTGTGCCACCGCGGCGATATCGTCTTCCGGATCACCTTCGGTGGCAGATGCAACGCCGGCTCCTCGGCCAACATTGTTATTTCGCTGAAGTCAGAGCAAGGGCTTGTGCAGTTGATTGTGTACCAGGATCCACAGTGCAAGACATTCCAGCGAAACAGCACCATCTCGTTTCGGGTGCAGCGTGAGCTGGTACAGCCACCCGCTGAGCTGTCCATCGGGCACGATCACACCGGAATATATCCACACTTTTTCTGTCGCAGCGTTGTGCTCACGGATACGGCCACGGACATGACACAAACCTTCCTGCTGCACAGATGGCTGAGGGGCTTTCCGAGCACCAAGTACGAAACGGCTCCGGTGTTTTACCACTCGAAGACCACCGAAAAGGAGATATACCCGCGGCGCGCACGTTTCTCGCACATACTGGAAAGCTGCATGGGGGCTTGGTATCTCTTTCAGCCCGTTATCGGTCCCTGGCGCCTCGGCACGCATTGTTCCTCCTTCTGCCGCTGGGAGCGCTCGTGCATGTTTATAGTCAAGTTGTTCGTCACGATCTGCATTATGGTTCAGTATTTTGGTCCATCCTATGTGGCCCTGTCGTGCGATCCGAGTCCCAAGAAGTATCACGACTTGGGCTCCGTAATTTGGACAACGCTGATATGTTTCCTGATCAGTTGCTTCGTGCAGGCGGCGATGGAGAAAACAATCCTCTACATTGGTGCCTACGATTATATTTAGCCAAATAGAGAAATAAAAAACAGATAAACAAACATTGCTGTGAGAAAACTGTTACAGTTATTCTTATTATCTAGATTATTATTTAAATCCAAATCCACATTTCGTACGAAACATACACAAAACCTCAGTCTGATATTTATTCATTTATAAGAAGAGTTTAGTGCAGTGGAACCATGCCCCCAACTAACAAGAAGAAGAAATTTATAAAATTAAAAAAAACCAAGAAGGATATTCAAGCGTACAAAAAGGATGTGGAAACTGATTTACATAAAATATCATTGGAGGAGCTTTTGGAGCGCATGAGAACTAATCCATCCACGGTAGGCTTGGGCATGGACAGGGACAGGGACAGGGACAGGGTTTCTTTTGAAATGCTCACTTAATGCTCATCCTGCACAGGGTTTATCCAAATCGGAAGCGGCCATTCGATTGGAGGCAGACGGCCCAAATATGCTAACACCAGCCGCAGGGACGCCGGAGTATATTATATTTCTGAAGAATATGTTTGGCGGCTTTGCCATACTTTTGTGGGCTGGATCTTTCCTCTGTTTTGTTGGATATATTATACAAGTTCAAACCCAAGATGATCCGAGCGATGACAACCTGTTTCTTGGCTTGGCCTTGGCCTTATTGGTGATCGTCACGGGCCTGTTTTCATATTTCCAGGTAAATTTTATTCGATTTTCAGACCGTTCTCAGAGCGCAGTCGTAGAACGTTAACAGGCAGCGTTACAACAGCCTGTTGGCGGGGAACAACTGTTACTCTGGCCTGTTATTCTGGACTGTTACTCCGCACTGTTACTGCCAACTGTTAACAGCGCTGTTGCCCCTGTGCTGGGGAAATCGAGGAACTGCAGTGCACAACTGCACAACTGTGGCGTTTACAGAGCTGTTAACAGCGCTGCTGCGCTGAATAAACCGAAATCTGAAGGAGAGATTATGAATGTACACTTAACATAGACAGTAACATTAACATTTAGCCACCTTTACGTACACTGTACATAAGTACATAAATCTCGATCTTTATGTTACATTTCCTAACTTTAGGTGCACAAGTCATCGGCCATTATGGATTCATTCAAGAATATGGTTCCACAATATGCGACAGTAATTCGAGATAGTGAAATTTTGACCGTAGTCGCGGAGGAGCTCGTCAAAGGCGACATTGTCGAAGTGAAGTTCGGGGATCGAGTGCCCGCGGACATTCGCGTCCTGGAATCGCATGGCCTAAAAGTGGACAACTCCTCGCTGACGGGGGAGTCGGAGCCACAGGTCAGATCGCCCGAATTTACGCACGAGAATCCGCTGGAGACGCGAAATCTGGCCTTCTTCTCGACCAACGTGCTCGAGGGCACCTGCCGTGGTGTTGTCATCAGCACCGGCGATAACACCGTGATGGGTCGCATAGCCAACCTGGCGGCTGGCCTGGACGAAGTACAGTCACCGATATCACGGGAAATAGAGCGTTTCATTCGATTCATTACAATTCTGGCAGCCCTGTTGGGCTTCACGTTCTTCGTGATTGCAATGATCCTTGGCTATACGTTCATAGACGCCGTGGTCTTTCTCATTGGCATCATTGTGGCCAATGTGCCGGAGGGGCTGCTCGTCACAGTCACCGTCTGCCTGACACTCACGGCCAAGCGAATGGCATCCAAGAACTGCCTGGTGAAGAACCTGGAGGCTGTCGAGACACTCGGCTCCACATCGACCATCTGCTCGGACAAGACTGGCACCCTGACACAGAATCGCATGACGGTGGCTCACCTGTGGTATGATCGCCTCATCATTGAGTCAGACACCACGGAGCACTTTCGTGGCTCAAAGTTCAACAAGGACGATCCCTCCTTCAACGCGCTGCTGCTGTGCTCGACCCTCTGCAATTCGGCTGACTTCAAGGGGGGCCAAGAGGACATGCCGGTGCTCCGAAAGGACGTTAATGGCAACGCCTCGGAGGCGGCCCTACTCAAATTTGCGGAGACCGTCTACGGCGGTGTGGGACCAGTTCGCCGCAAGCATGCCAAAATTACCGAAATACCCTTCAATTCCACCGAAAAATATCAAGTCTCTGTGCACAGCTACGACTCGAATGAGGCGAATTATATTGTGGAAATGAAGGGTGCACCCGAACGCATATTGGATCGCTGCGAGACGATTATGATGGACGGGAAGACGATTCAGTTGACGCAAGAGCTGCGGGATGAGTTCGAGGAGGCCTACATGGAGATGGGCGGCATGGGGGAGCGTGTGCTGGGATTTGCTGATCTCATGCTGCCGAAGGACGCGTATCCGGCGACCTACGAGTTCAACACTGAGCCGCCAAACTTTCCGCTGGAGAATCTGCGCTTCCTCGGGCTAATCTCCATGATAGATCCACCGCGGGCAGCCGTGCCAGACGCCGTCGCCAAGTGTCGTTCGGCGGGTGTGCGCGTGATAATGGTCACTGGCGATCATCCCATTACGGCCAAGGCCATAGCACGGAATGTGGGCATCATAACCAAGCCCACGGCCGAGGACATTGCCCAGGAACGTGGCGTGGATATCAGCGAGGTAGATCCCCGCCAGGCCACTGCCATTGTGGTGCATGGCGGCGAGCTGCGCGAAATGAAAGCGGAGGAAATCGATTCGATCATTCACAACCACACCGAGATTGTCTTTGCCCGCACCTCGCCCCAGCAGAAGCTCATCATCGTGGAGGCGTGTCAGCGTCGTGGCGAGATTGTGGCCGTCACGGGCGACGGCGTCAACGACTCGCCGGCCCTGAAGCGGGCCGACATTGGTGTGGCCATGGGCATCGCAGGATCCGATGTGTCGAAGCAGGCGGCCGACATGATATTGCTGGATGACAACTTTGCCTCCATTGTGGTGGCCATTGAGGAGGGTCGCCTCATATTCGATAATCTGAAAAAGTCAATTGCCTACACTTTGACCTCCAATCTACCCGAAATTGTGCCCTTCCTGTTGTTCGTGCTAATCGACATTCCCCTGGCACTGGGCACCATTGCCATTCTGTGCATCGACATCGGCACCGACATGCTGCCGGCCATATCCCTGGCCTATGAGAAGGCCGAATCGGACATCATGTCCCGTATGCCCCGGGATCCCTTCGAAGATCGTTTGGTGAACAGAAAGTTCGTGCTCAAGTGGGAAATGTTTATTTGTGTCAATTAATCGTATTTGCTTTTATTGCAGACTCATTTTTATGGCGTATCTACAGATCGGAGTCATTCAAACCGTCGCCTGTTTCTTCACATTCTTTGCCATAATGGCCGAGCACGGATTTCCGCCATCTTCGCTGATTGGAGTGCGACAGAGGTGGGACGCCATCGATGTGGATGATCTGACAGATAAATACGGACAAGAATGGGTAAACCATTGGGTTACCTTACAATTTAAGTGCAAATTTGCATTTATCTTATTTTACTTTACTTCAGACCTTTAGAGAGCGCAAGGAACTCGAGTACACAGCCAGCACGGGATTTTTCGTCTCAATTGTCGTGACTCAGTGGTGTGATTTGATAATCTGCAAAACGCGACGAAACTCCATTATACATCAGGGCATGGGCAATCATGTGCTCAATTTTGCCCTGGTTCTGGAAACGGTTATCGCCTGTGGCCTGTGCTACCTGCCAGGCATGAAGAAAGCCTTGCGCATGTACCCCGTCAAGTGAGTGTCGCCATTAGGGATACACTTAATACACACTTACGCACTTGTCCGACTTCGTTTAGATTCATCTGGTGGACTTATGGCATACCCTTTGGTGTGCTCATTATTGTGTTCGATGAGAGTCGCCGCTATCTCATGCGCCGATCCCCCGGCGGCTGGGTGGAGCAGGAAACATATTATTAGCTATTGAAATTCATTAATAAATACAGTAATACTTAACTACAGCATTAGCTGTCCCTTAACTCACTACAGTTTCCGGCTGCCACTCAAGTTTTCGTGTTGTTTAGCTGGAAAAGGGCGAAAGAAATTGCTGGAGTTTGATTCGCTCACTTACTGGCTGCTTACTGCTTGCCTCAATTTAAGTACTTTACACGGATGTTTTTCTATTTTATTTTATATTTATATTTATAGTTTTATACAGAGGTGGGTGGAAAACCAAACGGAAAGGCAAGCTGAGAAGAACGTCTTAAATATGTTTTAGGTATATGCCATGCTCTCAATATTCTAGCAAAATATAAGGACAAGATGCGACAAGTGAAGTTGTTGGCTTGACTATTTGTTGTTGGTTTCAAGTTGGTTGGATTGATTCAAGTATCTACTGCTGACACACAGACGCACATCGAGATGTAGTTAGCATGTGTACATACTTACATACATACATATATGTTGTACATTATGTACTATGTATATTGGTATATCCATAGGTTTATTCATTACTTTCATTGTTTAAGTTTTAGACACCATTTACAAACATACAGTTGACACCACTACAGATGGGAATCCATTATAATTAACATTTAATTCTGATTTAGTTACATTACACAAATAATTTCTAAATGGTTTTGGCCCAAAAGTGGACAACGCCTTCTCCCTCTCTATTCCTCTGGCATGTGCGTACAATTTGTGTGCAAATTACATAAGTTACATATATTTCATTTAAGTTGTTTTAGTATTCTGCCTATAGTTTACTTTCTTCCATTTGGCTTAATTCTAGCTCTAACTGCTACTCCAAAATGTACGGAGAGTTTGCCCAAACCTCAGCATGATGTTAGTGTAAATACATATGTACATACATATTTCATACATATGTACATACATACGTACATACGAGTGGATGTGTGGGTTGGATTATGGCTTAGGCCTTATCCCCGCTGTTCAATCTAATAGGACAGCGTGAGAGAGAGAGAGAGAGAGCGACAGACATAGTGAGAGAGGTTAGGCTGGATCGTCCGTGCCTTCCCCATTATTGTAAAGCTCTCTTTTGGCTAAATTCCCATCAGCTATCACATCTACCCCAACTCCTCCATTCTCTCTCACACTGTCTGTCAGCCCTCCCATCCAACGTCCAATAGTCAAGATCAAGTTCATTCCAAACATTCATTCAATATTAAATTCCTTTCTCCTGTACGAACGCATGTAAAACATAAATAAAACTGCGAATAAAATCTTAATTATCCTTTTTCTTCGTGCTACCTTCTTAGCGATATGTGAGTTGTGAGTTGGGTGCGCTTGTAAGGACAGAAACAATGATAATGCTGCTGCCTGCTGCCTGCTGCCTGCTCCACACGGTACATTTTCCACACTATCTCACACGAAAATCCGATCCATCGGCGGAAAATGCCACCTGCAACAGTTCTTGTAAGGAACTCGAAAAGGAAAGCTGACTGCATGTGTCTGTCTGTGGTTGATTCTAGTTTCTTCTCTCTTTGGCTAACTTTACGAGTATGTTCAAGTTGAAGGTTAATTTTCGATTGATTTCCATTTTAAGCTAATTACTTATGCGATTATAGTTCTTAGACTCGCTTAAATGTTGTCGCTCCCCTTCTGCGATATCTGATTATTTGTTTGATTTTTGTTTTTGCGGTTACAGTTTGACAATTAATTTGTATTTTGTTTTATGGTTTAATACTCTTGTATTCTTTACGTTAAGATTGCATGTTTTGCTCGTATTCGTGTTTCGTAGTTCTACTTTGGTTTTTTCTTTGGTGTTTTCGGTTACATTTGACAATTGCTTGTTGCTGGTTTCTGGATGTTTTCCGGTTTTCGGTATGGTGTTTCTTTTTCTCCTAAGTTTTCTTCACTAATCTCATGTACTGAATAATTTTTGTACAGTTTTTGTATTTTTAATTATATGCGTATCATGTAAACGAGAATAAGGTCTCGGCGGTTTTTGGTGTTGGCTTTGCTTCACTTCCGTATTTGATTTAAAATTGTTTTTTTTTTTTTGCGTTTTAACATTCTCTGGCAGTTTCTTTTTCATATTAAGTGGTGTTTTCGTCGAGAAAGAAAGAGACAGGGTCACGTAGGGTTATCGGAGTGGAGCGGAGGGGAGAGAGAGAGAGAGAGAGAGAGAGTGATAAAGGTTGTGGGGAAAGAGTGGAGGAATGAGTAAGTGGCAAGGGAGCTTGGATATTGAAGGGGAAGCAGAACGAAGCCCCTTTCAAGGTCACGATGGGCACGTCGAGGTAACTTATACGTATAACAAATACTTATACAAAATCTCCATAAACGAGAACACGCGACACAGTGGCAAGTAATAAATAAGTAACATCGTTTAAAGACACACACAAACAAATACAGAGTACCTGAATCCGAGTATGCATCAAGTTTCTTTCCCCCTTTACTCCAGCTTCCCATCTTCTATTTCAGCTATAAGAAAAACATCTCCACATTCCGATTCGATCGAACATCTCACTCAACCGGCACGAGTGGCAAACCGAGCACGGAGTGTGACTGGGAGTGACACACTCAACGCTTCACACCAAACAGATTCGGTATGGACTTGATCTTCTTTCGCGAACAGTTCAAGTAGTCCTTGTACATGTCGGAGCGCAGGTAGCGCGAGTACGAGTCACTCTTCATCAGGTGGTAAACATGCGAAGCGGCCACATCGAAGCACCAACGATTGGGGCCGTTGGGTGAGTTGACAGCCTCCCGGGCCAGCTCCACGGACTTTGAATCAACATTCACCGGGCACGGGGCGTCTGGAGCAAGAAACTCCTGCCAGATCTTGTGTATGGCCTCCTTGATCTCCGACTGCGGCAATGCCTTCATCTCTTGCACCGATTCCCAAAACCTGACCACAAAAGGTGCAAATTAGTTTGCATTTTACATATTTCTGTCGTTCACCCACTTTAGATTCTCTCCGCTGTACTCCTTCTCCAAGAATTTGGTGAACTGATCACGTCCGATGGCATCGTTCAGCAGCTCCCGCAGACTGAAGGCCCAGCGCTTTACGCGGCGAACAGGAACTTCTTTGCTGTATAGACATAAATATTGATTGATTCAATGAATGAATGAAATAATGAATGCATGAAAATCGATAGGTTTGTGCGTGGATTCAGTTACCTATTCTTCTCCGTATCCCACATCTCTGTGCTGTCTGTTTGCCAGGGATTGGGCAGCTCGGGAGAGGTTATAAAGTAATCGAACTCATTGTACTGATCGTAGTAGGCAACCAAACTGCGAACCACACAAATTCTGTATTAAACGAGCTGGGAAATGTGGGCCAGCACTTACGCCTCGGCCGCCTTGGACACTTTGATTGTGCGCCGCTCGAGCTTCTGCTTCCGCAGGGCAATGATCCGAGACAGCTGTTCGACGGGATTCTTGGCCACGGAGGCGCCAGAGGAGCCAGTCCCATGGCTGGAGCCGCCTCGTCGATAGGCCTTCTTGATGTCGATCTCCGTTGTGTTCACGCAACCCGGCATGGGGCGGTGCACGTCCCAAAAGGCCCGTTCCTGTGAGTCCAGCACCTTGCGCTCCAGCTTGTCCCGCTTCTTGGCCACTTTGCTCTGTGACTCGGCCTGTTGGGCGATAGCGGAACAGATAGTAGAGGTTGGGGTTAAGGTTGGGGTTCAGTTCCTGCTTGATACTTACCTGCATAAAGATAAACTCCCATTTTCGGGAGAACATCTTCTGCAGCTTGGCCAAGTTCTCGGCCTCGTAGTCGGCCAACTCGAGGCGCGTTTTATTCTGCATCGTGCGCTTGCAGAGGTACACCGCATAGTCCGTGTTCTCCGGCTCCCAGCAGTTCGAGGGCCAAAAGTAGGGAGTCTGAAATCTGCAAAAATCAATGTAAGAATAAGTCTGAAACCTGGCGACGAGAATGCTGTGGAACCTGTAGAAGGTGCCGTCGTTCTTCACTGTCAGCGCATGATCGTCAATGGGGAAGATGTAGCCGTGCGAGCTCAGCAGGTGGGCAAAGTGCAGGGCCTCCGTCACGTCCTCCACATCGAAATTCTTAAGTATCCAGGCCACAAGATCCGCCCCCGTAAACACCGATGGCACCTTGCTCATGAACGCCTTCACAGTACGCACGGCCACGCCGGTCGACTCCGCCTGCATCTTCTCAATGATGGCCTCCATCTACAGTGGCAAAATGTTATTGGATTGAATATTGAATATGAATTATATTCATATGTTATCTGCATCCACACCTTTTTGTATACGAGTATGTTGGGTGCATCTTCGTTCTTGTTATTCCGCTGGTGCTGCGACGACGACTGCACGACCACCGTTGACGGCGCCGCCTGCTGCTGCTGCTGCTGCTGCGACGATGACGACGAAGACTGCTGATGATGATGATGATGGTGATGATTGCTGCTGACGGTCAGCAGTCCGCTGGACTTGCTGGCGGAGCTGCCGCTGACCCCCGCCGAGGTTGTGGTGTCGCGGACATTCACCGTCTTGGCCGAGGGGGGTGGCGTGGCAGCTGCCACCGAAGTGACCACCCCTCCTGCCACTGCCACTGATCCACCGTTCACTGTTGCTCCTGCCCCTGTGCTGGCAATTGCCACCACCACCTCCTCAATGTTGGCATTGCTGTTGCCATTTGCCAGTGCTTCGGGGGCAGGAGTGGGAACTGAAGTTTGAGTTGTAGCTGGGGCTGGAGCTGGAGCAGCAGCAGGAACCGGAACTGGTGGCAATGATGCAGCTGCTGGGGCGCTGCACTCTGTTGTTACTGCTACTGCTGCGGCTGCGGCTGTGGCTGGTGGGGATTTTGGAAGTGGACTTGTGCTCTCCGCGGCTGGCTGTTTTTCGGCGCTGCTCATGGCCAGAGTGGCATTGGTTGCTTGTGTTTTGTCTGCCTCCGAGTTCATTGTTACCATTGTACAACCAGCCTCAAGTCCTGGACTCGGCAAAGCTAAAGCTATTTATAATCGCTGTGATGCGTGGGAGCCGGTTCGGGTCGCGTAGGTGTTCTAGCAGGAGGGGCTATGGAGGGGGCCCCTGTGCTATTTTCGCCTCCTCGTTGTGTGCGTGTCCTCTCCGTATCCGTATCCGTATACGTGTGTGTGTGTGTGTGTGTGTGTGTGTGTGTGTCTGTTGGTGAAGGGACAAGGCGATCTCTTTAGTTGTGGAGGCGCTCCTTGACGAAGAAGTTCCACAAGTTCACCTGCTGCTGCCGCTGATGCTGCTGATGCTGCCGGTCATTTCCTCGTTTTGCTTTCCATCTTAACGAGGTTTTCCCTGCGCCTTGTGCGAGGCTTCAGTTTTCTTCGTCGCTGACTCCGCTTCTCCCCTTCTCTGCTCTCTTCCTCCTCACTATGTGCAGGAATTTTCTGGAGTTACGGCAAGGCCCAGGTCGTAGCACACACACGCACACACACACGCACGCACGCACACGAACATACACCTCCTCCGAATGGGGGGGGGGCTCCGACTTTGGTTTTATTATTTTTTAGAGGCTCCAATTGCTACTAGAGTAACCTAGTATTACTTAGCACTTTTATTTCCAATTTACTGGGGACGCTCTCACTTCTGGGTTGAACTTCTGCCGTTTTCTGTTCTGCTGCTGCTGCTGCTTCATTTGCTGCTTGCTGTTGCTCCGTTATCCCGCTCTCATTTTCACTTGCAAAATCTCTCTTTCGCTCGCTGCGAAGCTCTCCCACACGCACACACGCACCCACGCTCTCGCATTCTCTCTTACTTCTTACTCTCTCTCAGCATGTAGTTTGGCTTTCGGCCTGTAATCATTTTACGGCCCAAAGTCAATTCAAGTGCCTTTGTAGGTCCTCGTCGAGGGGGGTGGGGGTGGGGTGGGTGTCATTCGTGCCATCCTGATAGTACGGTTCCTCATCGATTTTTGTTCAAGCCTCCCCCATTTAACCTGCTCAGTGGCTCATGGCTCTCTCTCCTTTCCACTGCGCATGCACCGAACTTGTTTACATCGCTCAGCTGTTAGGGTTGCCAGATGGCCGCAACTGACACATGAACAGTTGAAGTTCTAAATTTCAATTCGATTCGCTTTATTTCAATAATATGATTTATTTTACTACAATTAACAAAAAAAAGGACATACATCTAGTTGTGTAATTATCAATATATGGTATATTCGTACGATTATGTATCATTTTTATTAGTTGCATAGCGTGATTATTGCAGCGCTGCTATTAACTTACTGTGACCTTAGTTGTTATGGCTTTTATACAAAATTTCGCATTGATTTTGGAAACATTCAAAGGAAAACAATAAATAGTACATATAGTATATATGGTATAGCATGTGTATGTGTGTGTGTATGAACAGAAAATTAAGGCTAGGAAAAGGAAAATCAAACAAAGACGTCCATTATGCTTTCTTTCTCCACTAAACTAAGTTTTGTGTAACGCACGAATAACGGCCACCGATTATTTTGCATAATCTTCATCGTTATGTACATAGGTTTACGAATATATATATATATTGCATATTGTTATATGTATGTCTATATAACACATTTCTATATATAGATAGTATTTATTAAGTTTTGCTAAAAGCCTTGAAGCACACCTTCAGTTTGGATGGATCACCGTCAGGTCACTGGGGCCACCACTCCACTCCACTCGACTCCACCGACAGGCCTCAAGTTATAATTTATCTTAAATGACCAGCTCTACATAATATAATTATTTATAATTGGTAGAAAAGAACTCGGGGAAGCAGTGCAAAAAGTTACAAAGGAAAGAAATCAATTTAATTCATACAGATCCCACTTTCTATTTGTGCATCGCCCCCAATGAGAGAGCCTCATCCGGGCATGCTGTTGTGGTTGCAGTGGAAGGAATATCTGTTCCCTACTTATCCATGTGCCACAGAAATACTTTGGTCGGAATGGAGAACTTTGAATACTTGCAAAAGAAGCGAAAATGAGGCAGCATCACCCACCATCAGCAATACTCCAATTGAATTTTTGGGACATGCTAGGCCTAGTTGTGGATCACATTTTGACATTACGCTTATCAATGACATAGAAACCATCTTCATCTCCATCTTCTACTGCTGCTGTTGCTCCGTAAACTGGGAACGCGGCTGTCGCGCTGGCTTCTCTCGCTCCGACCAGAGCGGACCCCCTTGACCCTGGCCACTCTGGGCCTGGTAGGACAGGGGCGGTGGCTGTGGCGGTGGCGCTGCCAACTGAGCCTGTGGCACTAGCTCCGCCTGGGAGTTGAACTGGTTGTTGGTGTTGTAGTTGACCAAAATGTCACCGGCCAGGCTGTGGCCAATGTTGACGGCCCTGTCCGGATAGGACTGCGCCTGGGGATGCACCTGAATGGGCTGCGACTGCTGCTGGGTCTGCTGTGTATGCTGGGGAGGATGTTGAGGCTTGCTGCGCCAGTGCTTGTGCTGGGCCACGGGCACCAGGCGGTACAGAGGCTCGCCGGCCGGGGCACTTGGATAGCTGGGCACAAAGTAAGGCGGATAGGGGTGAAGGTGTGGATGCGGAGGAGGATGCTGATGAGGATGTTGATGCTTGCCGCCTTGTCGCACGCGCTTGAACTGCGGCGGCGGACGCTGCCAGAACTGCAATGTGCCAGTCTGAACAGGTGCAGGTGGTCGCAGATGGACTCCTCCCCTGACCTGATCGTCCACGTAGTGTGGTCCTGGCCCTGGAGTGCTGAAGATTTGGGGCTCGTAGATCTGCTGCTGCTGTTGCTGCTGCTGCTGCTGCTGCTTGCCCACTCTCAGCTGTCGCTCGGGTAGATAGGAGTCCTCCGTGGAGTCCAACTGAAGCTGCTGATGCTGCTGAAGCTGCTGCTGCTGCTGAAGCTGCTGCTGTTGCTGCTGCTTTCCCACTCTCAGCTGTCGCTGGCGCGACGAAGTAGGCTGATAAACGATGGCCTTGAAGGCATTTTGATCCTGCTCATCCGCACTGTAGTTCACCATGGGCAGGAAGGGCTGCTTGTCAAAGTCTGGTGGATGGAAGCGGCCCGATCCGATGACTGCTCCTGTGGCTGTTGCAGGCGCTGCCGATATGAGATTGCTCCTCAGCAGCTGGCCCAGAGCGGCGTCGTACTCCGCACTCAGCTGGAGCTGGGCATTGCGCGGCTTGGGAGTGATGTTCACGACATCCGTGACATCGTTGGTCGGACTGACCGATGCCTTGTAGTGCAGGTGATGGTGCAGGTGATGGCGCTTCGGTGGCTTCGGTGGCTTTGTGGGCAGAAAGTCCTCGATGACATTGGACTTGATGGAGCCCGGCTGTCGCTTCGCTTCGAAGTACTCGTAGTAGATGGGATTCGACTTGGACAGCGGCGGATCCGCATCCTGGGACTTGCCCTCCGTGGAGCTGGGCACGAACACCAGCTGTGCCTGGGGTCGGGGCGTGTAGTTGATGGGATAAATGGGTATGGGCACCGCCACGGGCACCGGCACCCGCTCAACGTACTTGGGAGCAGAGTGGTGGTGGTGTTGCTGCTGCTGCTGCTGCTGCTGCTGTTGTTGGTGCTGGTGCTGGCGAGGGGGAGGCGGCAGGTAGCTGATGGCATTGTACTTGGGCTTGTACGATGTCCTAAGCGGCAGCGGGGACGTTGCCGGACGTGGTGTGGTGGTGCTGGTGGTGCTGCTGGTAGTTGTGGTCGTTGTGCTGCTCGTGGTGGTGCTGCTGCTAGTTGTGTGGTGTGGTCTGCGAGTGGTGGTGCCGTCTGAGTGGCTGTCCAGGCGGCTGAAGTGATCCGGCGGCGGTGGCAGGACAATGCCAGGTACCAGCGGACCCGGCGGCACCGGATTCGAGTAGTTGCTTTTGTACACAAAGCTATACGCAGGCGGATAGTAGAGCGAGGGATCGTCCTCGTCAAAGTCGCTGCCATTGACAGGAAGTGCCGCCGCATTGCCCGGCAGCGAGCCATTGCCGTGCAGCCCGTTGATCAGCCAGGGACCCAGCAGCGGGGGTGACGATCTCAGCAGGCCATTGCCCGGGGTCGTCTCGTTGGGGTAGAGCAGCCACGGGGCATAGGGTGCCGGATAGACGTAGGGGGGCGCTGCGGCAGCTGCCTTAGACGCTGTTGCCGCTCCCGCCCGGGCAGCAGGATGCGACGCGTGGGCCGGGGCGGGAGCGTGGCCCTGGTTGGGCGCCTGCTTGGACGTGTCAGCGGATAGCGTTGCATTGCCAGGCGGCGAATGGAGGATCTCGAGTTGATTATCTCGGATAAGCTGCAGCGGCCCGTGCGGCTCGAGCTGCACGGGAAAGGGAGGCGGCACCGCTGGATTCGCCGGCAGCTTGATTTGTCGCGGCGGCGCATCATAGTCGTCGATGGCCGGCCATTGGCCGCCGCCCTCATCCTCATCCTCATTGAGGCTGCCGCCCTTAATCACGAGCAGATGGTCCTCGGCCAGCCAGATGTCCTGCTCGTTGAGGCCCCCGTAGTTGCGCTCGTTGTCCAGCGGTACCTCCGAGTTGCGTGCATAGCTGAGCACCCCCGGCCGCTTGGGTATGCGCCGGAAGAGCTCCTTTTCGATCAGCCCATACTTGCCATCCCGCACCTGGTCGGCCAGCGTCTTTTTCGCGTCCTCCTTGAACGGCTTCTTCGAAGGTGCCTCCGCCTCCGCCTCCTTCCCCGATCCCGCACTCAGCCGCAATATCCCGTTGTCCCAGTTGTCAAAGCTGTCATCTTCAGCCTCATTCAGCAAGGCCTCGTCATTGTCGTTGTCATCGTTGACATAAGGTGCAGCTGATGCAGCTGCTGGTTGTGGCGATGGTGATGGCTTGGCCAGACGATAGCTGCTGCTTGCCTTGCCCTTGCCCTTGCCCTTGCCCCTTAACGCCGACGGTTGCCTTGACGTAGCTGTTGCTGTCGCTGTCGCTGTCGCTGCGGATCTGGCTGTCGTTGTAGTTGTTGGCTGGTACGTGGAGGCCGAGTGCGAGCTGTTGGCACTCACCGCTGAGACCTCGTAGGTGGAATGTCCCTGTGCATTCTGTATGTGTCCAGCCACCAATCTATGGATCATGCGCGGCCTGTCAACGGAATGGAAATGGAAGAGAGATGTATTCCATGGAATTAAAACAATCAAGGATACTCCCAAGATTAATTGATAAATACCCATGGAAAATAAATCATTAATTAATCATTAAACGAGTTCAACATCATCTAAAATAGTTTTTTCATAGTGGTGCAGCCTAAAGTAAAGCCGCATTAATCTTGCATTATTTTGCACTGCCCACAGACTCCACAGTATGCTTAAGCACGACATTTACCGTTCTTTCGTTTATCTATCCCGAGTTCTTCGTTCCTGCACTCTTCCCACTTCCACTCTTCTTTCTTCCTTCCTCCGTCCATCGCTGGCGACAACTTTTTAAGGGCGCTTTACCGGCGAGCTACCTGCGTGCCAAGTTGAATTTCAATTACAAGGCGACGCTGTCCACTGTGGACAGCACCAATAACTTTTTCTAACTTGCGCTAAAAAGAGATAGCGAACCCCGAAAGAGACTCCCCTGTGATGTTCTAGCACTCTCCTTCTATCGGTTCTTTCCGTTCTCTCTAGCTTGCATTTCATACATGCATTTGTATATCAATTTTGACTCACGTTTTTAATGCGCCGCCGCCGCTGCGGGAAGCCAAACTGGACGTTGATGTGAAATTTGAAGATATGTAGGCGAAATGGTCAGCAGGAAGGACGGAGTGGGTGGGCAGAGCTTGCTGTAGAGGTTGGCCCCAGCTGCGGCTGATGCTGTTGCTGTTGCTGCTGCTGCTGCTGCCGCCGAATTCGCTGCTCAGCGCAGGCGTGTCGCGGGGCTGACGAGCGCCTCGCACGCTTCCACGGTCCCGCAGAGGGCGCGCCGAAGGTGCGACTGTTGCTGGAGCAGCTGTTGTTGTTGTTGTAGAGAAGCGGCGACGCTGCTGCTCCTGCATCAGCAGCTTCTTCTCTGCAGTTTGTGTCACCGGCGTGGCGGTGGTGGTGCTGGTGCTGCTGCGGCTGACACTCCGACTGCGACTGCGACTGGATAGCAACGGGATCTCAATCGATTGCGTGGTGGGTGGACGGCGCTGTCGGGGCGCCCGCAGCGTTGGCACTTCGGTGCTTGTCGTCGATGCTGCCGACTCTCCCTCGCGTTCGACTCCCTTCACCTCTGCCGACACTCCTCTGCTCCGCTGCCGCGTTGCTGCTGTTGCCGCTGTTGCCGTCACCGTTGTCATCACCGCCGCCGCCAGTACAGTTATCACTATCAAGTGCAAGGTTAACGATGCCATCTGCAGTCGAAAAGAAACAACAAAGAAAACAACAACCATTACTATCAAGTCAAAGCTGCAAAATGTTACCAATATTCAGTGCGTATTTGGGGTTTAATTTTGTCCACAAGCTGCAATGTTGCAATATCCATAAAAAAAAATCATTAAGGCATGCATAGGACTCTCTAGGAGTTCTACTATGACACAGCAAGTGGCACACAAAATTATATTGAGGATTAATGGTGTCGATCCCATTTTATATTCCCTAATAAAGAATAAATTAGGTCTAACCCTCCAACTGTGTGTGTACGGCTATTACAGTCCTACTGTCGACAGTTCTTAGTTGTTTAATTTCATAAATTCCCATGACCTGTCCATTCTAGTACTAACTTCAGTACTTACTCGAATGTATATGGCTATATTTTTTTGGGCAAAAGTCGTTCAGCTCGGCTTTCCGCTTTCACGGAACGGATTTCTCCGGCGGCACTCTTGCCCGACCCGACTGCACTTGTCATTAGCAGCTCCTACATTTCAGACACTCGACTACAGCACACATGGGAACACCTATGGGAACACCTATGGGAACACCTATGGCCACGCCCCCCTGACTGTTTTCTGCCCATTGTTGATGGCGGGAAAGTTGCCTTGCCGCAAAAAGTCGACCAAAGTCTTTGCTCAGTTTTGTGATCTGACATTTGGCCTCCACGGCAAGTGTCTCTGTCGCTCCATCACCGACTTTTGTCGATTACACCTTAGGTGTTCCATTTACAGATCTATAAGAACTCGGACTTTGGTGGACAGCCATTAATGAACCAATCCAATCCAATCGAATCCAATCCAATCCAATTGAATTCCAGCTCGGCTGGCCGTCACTCGATGCTCCAAAAACGGCGAAAGCGAAATCAAGGACACAACTTTGAACAATTCGAATCATAAATAATAAATAAATAATAAATAACATTCTACTTTTGTTTTCATTGACTGTCTGTGGGTATTACTCATACGCGCCGTGGCTAATTGGCCAAAAGCGGGCAAGCGCGCGACAGGTTGAAGACTTTTTCCCCCCACTTATTTTTTGTGTTTTTTGTTTTGACTCATTTTGTGATATATTTTTGTTTTATTTGTTGCTTTTTTGTGGGTCTTTTTAGAGCGTTGGAGGCGCCCACAAGTGCAGGCGCCAAGCTCTAAATGCCTGTTGTTGGGCGCAGTTGCCAAACCCGAAAAGACAACTGAAACCGAAACCGAAGCCAAAGCCAGCAATAGCAGCGCAAAGTGCAATAACAATAGCAATAGCAACAACAAAAACTAGAAACAAAAAAACAGCAACAAATATAAACAATCAAATGGAACGTGATTCGAAACCGAAACCGAAACCCAAACCCAAACCCAAAACCCAAACCGAGACCAAAACTAAAACTAAAACTGGACCTGGAGTTGGCTCGCGACGTGGAGAGGAATGCTGTGGGTCTTGCTTGTATCGTGTGCCTGTCCAGTGCGCTCCAATTTTTGCCTTTATCTTACTTTTATTTTATTCCATAGAACGAGCAGCAACAACAGCAAGAAACAAAAAATTCGGCGGCAGCAGCCAAATTGTTGTTTGGTAATCAAAAAAGAAGTTAAAACAAAAAGCTGCCCAGAAGAAACGATACATAAGATACATACATAAGTAGGAGAGCAAACATTTTTTTGTTGACGAGACAACGACAATTGATTGCTCTGGAAATTAGATTCGAATCAATGCGGGCATTCCAATTGGGGTTTTCTTTCCAACTAATAGTCTACGAATTGCAAATGTTTAATCAACTTATTGCTGGAATTTGAGTAATTAAAGTAAGTCGGGAGAACTTTATATATTTTGTATTTGATTAATTCATCCACGTAGTTGATGTGCCGCTGCTGTTGCTCATTTTAAGTGTAGAGCAAAGTAAACAGTAAATAATGAAAACTGTTTGCGTGCGCTGCTGCGGTCGCTGCCTAACGGTGCCTATAGTGAGGTGCCCACTCCCGATACCCCTGGCCCGTCCCCCCATTCCACCATTCCCAACACAATCCACACAATCCACACAATCCACACAATCCCTCTGCTGGAAGGCGTTCAAACAGCGTCGCCATCAGAGATTCGTCATAGAGCGACCACGTTCCAGGCCAAGCCTTGCAGTTGCCGCCGGCAACTTGCAGCCATTCCCATACCCTGTCCAAGGGTAATTCAACTACTTGCCATCGAGGCTTCAGTTCTCAATGAATACATTTAGCATCAACAGTTGGATTTATGGAGCACGGGATAAGTCTTCGAACGGAAGGAAGTTTTCTCTTTGATAGTGGAAAAATGCATCAATTAATTCCCATATGTCGCCAGGGTATTTGCTGTCGTTACGCCCAAGCATTCGTACGCCTCTCGATATATGTAAGTATTTTTGTTGCTTTTTGTTTTTAGTTTTTTTTTTTCCTTTTGCATTTTTGAATGAAAGGCAACGTCAGCCAAGGCAGCCAGCAGCAGCAGCAGCAGCGGCTGTGTTGTCTCTGGCTATTGGCAATAAATAATTCTTTGTTGTTGCTGCTGCGCCTGTTGGCTTGCCTAAATTTAATTAGTTTATTTGAAAGCAGTTTGGGGCGATGGTGTCATAGATTAAATTGGACTCAATTCATTTTCCTTTTCATGGTCTCCCTCTGCCAATAGGTTGCCTGTGCTCTGCCTTGTCTTTGGCCAATATTAACTAATTGTTCTTTGTTGTTTCCCCCCAAAGTATTGGCGTCTAGGATTGTCCAATACACTCGTAATTTACCAGCCCACAAATTTGTTTCCGCAACACACTTTCAAGCAATTTCGAGACCAATTGAGAACTGAATTGGTAGAACACAAAAATGCCTGCAAATTCCATGAATGGAGAATGTCATGCCAATAGAATAGAGAAATCGGTACGAGAAGTTAATATTCGCTTTGCTCTAATTAATCGATGCCAGAAGAACAATGGAAGTAGCAGAGCAAGTCCATGACAATGAGCCACGGACATCAAACTTCAATAAAACAAAACCAAAAAAAAGCCCAACAGCAATGCGTAACATTTCATTAAATATTCATTTTTCTGAATTATTATGGCTTTTGGGTGGGATTTAGAGCAGATAGAGAAATTCCCTGTCTATTATTATTATTATTATTATGAAATGGTTCAGTTATGAAATGTTGTAGATAGCTAGCAAAGCGAATTCGAGGGAAGGTTAATCGCCGAAGCGACCGGCGTGATTGATACGAATGGAAAGGCTGCCAGGCCCAATCCCAATTTTATGAGCCAGCTAGAGATTTATGGATTATGAGGGCTACAGTTGAAAACAGAGTAAAAACGATGCATTTAAGTAGCACCAAGTACTTGTGTAGTAACTAAATTTCAACATATCAAAGAAGGGCCAAAGAAGCGAAAAATCCTTCCAAGACTATTTCCATAAATGCATGTAAGTTATGGACTTGTGGCAGAGACCAAAATAAGTCCATTTGGCTAAGCAAAAAGCAGACATTTATAGCTTATTTGCCATATTGTTGCAGTAGATAATAATTAGCTATTTATAAGAATTTCTTTGCAGGAATTAACTCTGTCAGCTGTGTACTATTAGTTAGCTATTCCTTCTGCTAGTGCCGCGGCTTGGAGACAGTGCACCAGGAGGCGTCACTCTGGGGGTGAACTAAGCGGCACTCCCCCAAGCCCCTTGTTGGTTTGTGGCTCAATCGGTGACTCGGTTACTCGGTTACTCGGTTATTCGGTTACTCGGCTTGCATACCACACAAAAATATACTCGAGTCTACTCGGGTATTTGCCGCCAAAGAGCCGAATGAATTTTTCGGCTTAATATCTGTGGCGGTATCGGGTGTTGCCGTACCTTTCGTTGTTGCCCGCAATGGTCTGGAATTTTAAATAAATTCGTTTTACTTGCAGTTGTGCAACATGCGACTTGACTTCACCTCACACTCTGACACTTATGCCTAATTTATGCCTATTTATGCCTAAAATATTAATGCAATGAAGAAGTAGATACAAAACACAACACAACAGCTGCAATTAAAATTGTTTAATACACCAAATAGGAGTAGTAAAAGTATTTAGTAGAAGAAACTCAAAGGGTGTCTGTCTAAACTCTTTCAAGTGCAAACTGAATGCGGTTAACTTTGATTTAAATGTACCCGTAAAGGCATTCAAATTAATGCTGAGTAGAGGGTAAGCCTTGCGCCTGCCACCTTTTGCCTGTAGATGAAAAGCTTTGCGTAAGTTTTCAACCGCTTTTCATGCACCTACTCATACTTATATTTGCTTTTGTTATTCTCTGCTTATGTTTATTGGCAACTGAAACGAATACCAGGCCAGGCAACGTTCCATCTCTATTTGAACGAGTGCAAGTACTTGTGCATTATTTCATTCTGTGATTCCATCGAGTCTGGGTGTCTGCTGTGAAAGCGAGAGTGAGTCCGTGCAACGACGACGGCGACGAGTGTTCCGTAAAGTTATGCCCGACGCGTAACTGGGCCAGTAGAAACAACAAACGCAAAGGCAAAAGCAAAAACAACAGAAACGTTTACAAAATATTCATTGATTCAAAATGTGGAATTTCTGGGGTTTATTGCTTCCCACTTTGTTGCCTTTGCTCATGGAGGTTTTTGTTTTTGTTTTTGTTTTTGTTTTGCTTTTCTGGTGCTTTTGGTAACTCGCTTGATCGATCAGGCTCTGTCTGGCCGGGAGTGATGTAATTTGTAGGGAGCCACGATAACTCTATTTTATTTTATACAACACACGAGTGTGGTGCTATGCATTTTCCACTCGCCTGCCTTCCAATGCCTCGCATGCGCAATATGGTTCAGGTGTCTGCTTAATTTCAACTTCAGTCAGGCTCAAACATTAAAGCAGAAGTTCGATTGGGAGTCGGACCTTGGCAGGAAACCCATCAAAAGCCTGCAACTGAGGGACAACGAGCGGAAAATCAGAGAGGAACGCGGTTCGAGCCATCAAAATCACTTGATTAGAGCCTACTTAATGCTCCTCTGAGAGGGGAGCTGGCAACTGGGCGTGGGAAGCGTGCACCAAAGCCAAATCCAAATCCAAAACCAAACAACTTTATTATGCAAATTGGCAGCGCCTGGCCAGAATGCTAGCTCCTCGCCTTGCTCGGGTCTCGGGTCTCGGGTCATGATTGGGACCTAATGACAAGCTACTTAGCCGGACAGCCAGCCAGCTTTCAGCTTGTTCAATTTGAAGGAAAGGTCTTTGAGACAAAGGGCAACACCCACCCGCCTTGGGTTCGATGGGAACAGATTCAATCCAAGCAATGAGGAAAAGTTGGGTGAGGCACATGGAGGAACATGGAACTCTGTTCAGGAACTCAAAGAAAAGCATTCTTCAAGTATGACAGCCAATCCCATTTTACCATATAAATAATATTCCATGTTCCGTGACGGGTCTTTCATCCACTTTTCGCATTGCATTGGCTTCCTGCTTAGATCTTATCGGGTCTGTGTGTCGTACGACATGGGACATATGACATGGTTCTATGGCTAGATCGGGACCGATTAATTAGTCTTTGGATCATGCTGCAGGGGGCGTTCCGTGGTGGGTGTAGCTTTCGTAATTGGAAATTGACTACATTTCATATGCCAATCGCCTTCAGGCGAGAGAGTGTTGACAGTGCTGGCAGCTGGTAACCAGTTGAACCGGGAACGGGAACGGCAACGGGAACGTTAAACACATTCTTCAGGTGGTATCCAGTGACAATTAGAGAGCAAATTATGCCAACTAAATGGGCGACGTGCAAAGTCAAGACTCACAGCACACAGCAGGAGGGCACCCAAGCTCTTACTGGGCGTGGTCCAATTCAATCCGATCCCAACCAATCCGATCGAAACTCAGACTCGAACAGACACAGCATTGCATAAGTAGGCTTGGATCAATTTTCCTCTGCCTGTGCCAGCGACTGACAATTATAATTATAGATTATCAGTGGGCCACGAAAGAAAATTCAATTTTGAGCCAACATTTTGATTTCCCCCTGTGGGGATCGGCATCGCAGCTGGGTGGGTGGCCGCGAGGCTGAGCAGCTAGCCGGCAAACCGGCAAACCGGCAAGCCTGTGCAAATATGTCACTTGGCTGCCAAAACCAAATAAACGAACACCGATAAATGGCTCTGAGGTGTCCACGCTGCTCGTTTTGTGGTTTAAAAGAAAACTAATTCCATAATGAATCCAACTGAGATTTGTCCCACTGCACTCCGCTCTCTTCTATTCTCTTCTCTTCTCTTCTCTTCTCTGCACCCCAATCCCCCGCTCTTTGCATTTGCCAATGTTAATGCATTTCCGTTTCCGCAGGCAGAGTGCCTCTTTTTTTCTTTGTAATTCTTGAGTTTCCTTTGGGGAAGTTTGTTTGCCACTCACCTTTGGGTCTTGGAATATCACAGAAAGGTTTTTTCGCATACGAAAATGGAGACACTTGTGTGCGTTCTGTTTGTGTTTAGTTGTTGTTGCTGTTGTTGTTCTTCTCTTGTTTGTTTCTTGTTTTTGGTGTGAACCAAAAAAATGCAGCAATTTTCCAGCTAGTTTGCCTTTTGTGTCCGCCGCTGCTGCTGCTGCTGCTGCTGCTGCTGCTGCTGTTGGTCTGATCTTGTTCCACTTTGATCTGGTGGTCATATAACCGCTTAATAGAGTTCTACTTTGTTATGCTTTTATTGTCTCGTGATTCTGAGTTTGCTTTTATGATTCTTGCAAATTAGTTTCCGCTGTTGCTGGCAGTGCTTGTTGTTGTTGCCATTCCTGTTGTTGCTAGACATGTTTCCGATGGCAGCGGCAGCAACAACAACATGACGCAGCGTTTCAATGAACTGCAAGAAATAACCAAAAGAAAACAATAATAATTACAACAATCTCTGTATTTGTGTTTGTTTTGCTTGTTTTTTCTATTCCTCTTTATTATCGCATACTTATGCTTAAGCCAGATCATGGCTTAATCCAATTAAATGTTGTTTTTAATGATTTCCGAGATGTGCTACAGATGCCTCTGTGGCAACCTCTTCATTGGGCGTTTAATTACGTTAGGCCTTTAGTTAATTTCCCCCTCCCCAACTTAAATTTCAATTGAATTTCGGAACCCACCACCAGAGACTGAGAAAGAAGGCGAAAGGCGGAAGCAGACCGATTCCGCGGACTTTCTTGGCGCTGCTGGGGCCTGTGTCTGTGTCTGTGGCTGTGGCTGGGGCAGAGTGCAGTCGAGTCGATAAAACACCTGGGAGATTGTCACAATCCGTTTGGATGAATGTCCAGCATTTTGATGCTGCTCACACTCACACTCGCAACAGCCGCTGCCTTCCGTTCCATCCCATTCTCGTATTCCACGTTCATTCCCCTTCCCTTCCCCCCTTCAGCGGAAAATAAATGAAAAATAGCCAACTGTCTTTTTGTTGTTGTTTGTTTATTTGTGAACTGCTCGCTCTGCCCAGTACATCAAAATTACATTAGGCCGCAAGAGCGCGAATGTATGTCAGCTGTGCGAGTGTAATGACCTATATATTAAGTCGACTGCCAGTCAACTAATGCTTACTACAGCTGACTGCGATGTGTTAATTAGTCAAATGTTGGTCAACACTTGGCCTGGCTTGGCCAACTTTGTGTGACTTTGGGAATGCATTTCGAATGGGCTGCACCGCGAGTACGTGTGCGGAGGATTTACGGTGATAAATCCCAGCATCATAAATACTTTTCAATGAGCGTACTTTTCTCCCATGCTATCTGCTCTCTTTCGCTAACCTTTCGTCCCTAGCTTGCCATCTCTTTCTAGCGCTTGTGTCTCCGAAAGCTGAGAGAGAGCGAGGTGAAAAAGTGGTTGTTGCTCACCACAGCGGTCGAAGCTCACCTTGCAGTAAATGAAGAGAAATTAAACGCTTAGTTTGCTGTTTTGCATGTTTCCTCCTTCTGCATATCGTTCTTTTACATACAAATAATAATGATTCAATAACAACAACAACAACAGCAACCGGATACCAAATCACAGAGTCCAACTCGAGACTGAAGCTGGAACAGAGTAAATGTTTTGCAATTTCCCTAAGATTTCCATGTGTCTGCCTGCCTGCCTGTCTGTCTGTCTGTCTGTCTGTCTGTCTGGTGTGGCATGTTGCAATTGGCAAACTGGCAAACTGGCAACTGGCAACCGGCAAACGGCAGCCGGCCAAGAGACAAGAGGAAACTGTGCGTGTGCCACGATCTTTGCTCCATGTGGTTCCTCAATTAAACGGTACTTCAATCTACAATTTTATTTCTCCCTCTCATTCACTCATCTCCTCTCTTCCCACTTGCCCCCAACACACTCTGCACAAAATTTGAGCTCCAATAAATTAAGGTAAAGCAAAAGCCTCTTAATTGATGTTCGGGCTTAAGCGTCAAGCGTCTCACTGCCTCCGATATAGGTGTTGATGATGTTCATCATGTGCAACAAAACAACAACGAAAAACCAACAGACAACAACCAAAAACCAACAGCCAACAGCCAACAGCAGCACCTGATTTACGAGTTCCGTTCACAGAGGCTGGCTGCCGCCCGCAGTGGATGCCACTCGACTCGACGCGACTCGACGCGACTCATTTGCCGCACTCATCGAACCCATTCATGGCGAGACGAGCTACAGACAGACACACACACACACACAGACAGACAGACAGACAGACAGACGCTGGCCCCACTGCCAGCTCTACCTGTAGCAGCAGCAATAATTGTTTTTTTATTGTTTAATCACCGACGCCTGGCTCTTTGATTTGTGCCGTTTTTTCTTCATGCATAATAGAGATGTAAATGTAGATGTAGCTGTGGTCCACCTGCAAACGGAAGGCCCAACAATCTGTGATTCCAATTGGAATCCCAACATGATTCGGCACTAAACTTGTTAAGCTGCTAAAGTACTCCACGGCATTCCGCTCCCTATTTACAAGCTCACATTCACCATTTCCGAACGGTGCGTGATCCTGATTTCAAGGTCAATTTCTTTCGGTTCGGCTTACCAGTTTGTTGCTACATTTGCTGCGGGAGGAAGCGCCCAAATGGGTGCACAAACTACAGGACCAAGAAGACCTAAACATTAAATCTCTATTAATCGTGGAAGACTGACAGGGCTTTGTGGATACTTGATCGATGATAGCTAAGCCATTGCAATTGTGTCTGGCTTGCGGCAAGAGTGCAGAAATAGAATCCCACAGGCGAGTGTCTCGCCGTGGAGGCCAAATGTCAGATCACAAAACTGAGCACAGACTTTGGCCGACTTTTTGCGGCAAGGCAACTTTCCCGCCATCAACAATGGGCAGAAAACAGTCAGGGGGGCGTGTCCATAGGTGTTCCCAAAAGTGTTCCCATAGGTGTTCCCATGTGTGCTGTAGTCGAGTGTCTGAAATGTAGGAGCTGCTAATGACAAGTGCAGTCGGGTCGGGCAAGAGTGCCGCCGGAGAAATCCGTTCCGTGAAAGCGGAAAGCCGAGCTGAACGACTTTTGCCCAAAAAAATATAGCCATATACATGCGAGTAAGTACCGAAGTTAGTACTAGAATGGACAGGTCATGGGAATTTATGAAATTAAACAACTGAGAACTGTCGACAGTAGGACTGTAATAGCCGTACACACACAGTCGGAGGGGGAATATGGAGGGAATATCAAATGGGATCTCCTTAGATTGGATGGCTTGCTAGATTTTTGTATAGATACTAATCCTGCGCCATTGACTACCTTCTAAAATTGTGAAAGGAACTAGTGACAGAACATGAAATGCGTTTCGCTTGGGTTTGTCGAGCTGTGGGGCTGGGTGGCTGCCCACACAAACATGGCCAAACGCACTAACGGCAACGTGGATCATGTGACAGGGGACATGGGACATGGGACATGGGACATGATCATTATGCAGATTTATGACTTCAACACTTGAAACTGATAGTGTGACCCACTCCTCTCGCGGACCTCTGTGCGGCAACCCCTCACTCGATTTGTTGTTAACAAAGTTGTTTGTTTATGAGGCGTTTTGGCTTGAATTATTACTGGAAATTAACAACAGACTTGTCGCCAGCTCCAATAATAATTAACAGCGACACATGCACTCGGATATACGCGTACTCGTAGTACCAAATGGATAGTACTTAGTACATAGACAATATACATATTAATTAGCCAATAAGCTGGCATATGTTTCCCATATCTATGTAGGCCTCTTGCGGCTGGTGCAAGTGGGCGTCTCAAATTGGCTTTAATTAATCATTTTGTCATCGTAGTCAAGTCTAATTAAATTCAATTTGAAGCAGCCAAGTGGTCCAGAGTCTGGTCCAGTCTCACGCTCAGTCGAGTTTTCTCTGTTATGAAAAAACAATAATTAAACTATTACGAAATCTGGCCTCAACTCTAATTGGTTTTGGTATTTAATTTTCATATTTTATGCTCGTACAATTTGCGAATAATTTTGTTGTTTAATTGCCGTCTGCACTGAAGTAATCAAGGCACAAATAATGGATCATCGAACATGGCAGAGAGGAGTGAAAAAGAGTTCTAAAAAAGGGCTTTGGCTGGGACTTGCTTACCACACGGGGCACACCCATGGCCGCTGGCAAAATGCTTAGAATATTTGCCTAATAAATGTTTCACGCATTGGTATGCAAAGATCATTCTAAGGCCCAAAATAGTTGCTTAAATTGCACTCCCATTCAGTCTCCCACCATGCTGCGCTCACAGATTGCGTGAGACAGTTTTGCTGTCCATGCTGGTATCTTTGCTCTGTGTGCTTCGCATCTGTGTCGACTGTAATTAAGTTTCAGTATCGAGAACTGTGAGCAGCCCCGCAGCTAGGCCAAGAGTCCACCCTCTGCCCCACACTCTGCCACTCGGCACTCTGTCGAAGCGCTTTGCATTTGTCGTTCGTCTGGTTTATTGCACTTTTGGCAGCTTATATTTATTAACCATAATTATCGGCTGCCGCTTTTGCTGTCGCTGTCTGTTCTAGCCGTACACAAAGTTTTGGGCACGGCTTCCGGGCCATGCAACCAGCAACATGCAAATGACTCGCCAAGGCCTGGCCCAACTTTGCTCCAAGTCGATTCGCATTGATGGAGGCAATGGGATGTGATTGCATTATGGCAATGGCCATTAAAATGCCAGCTCATCTTTCACCAGTCAAATCATTAAACGAAAGACCTGAAAGATCCGCACCATCCATCTTTCTCTGTCGCGGAAATTATGATGCGCTTTTCCACCGGCTGCCATTGAATGTGCAAAAGGTACCAAAGTGAATGTCTGCTGTCGTGGATGCTGCTGCAACAGTAGCAACTTAATGTCAGTTCGTTAGTGGCAGGTGGCCAGGCAGCCAGCAGCTTGGCTCCATCTTTTGGCCGGAAGCAACGACAAATTTGCACTAAATGGCGCCGCGGCACGCGCATCATCAACAACAAAAACAACAACTACGCCATCATCGAGGTGGCGGCGGCATTCAACTGATTCATTTTCGGTGATTATGTTGCTTGTTTTTTGTTGCTTTGTTGCTTTGTTGCTACTCCCCTTTCGTTTGCAAGGTAAAAAGTGTTGCGAAAAATGCAAAAGTTGCAGCGAAAGTTGCAAAGGGCACATGAAATATCGCCAATATCTGGCAAGGCCTCGCCGTAGATCTATTTTGCAATAAGTAGCTGCCAAAATGATGTATTCCGATTCCGAATCCGAATCCGAGTACGACTCCATGTGTCAATGGCTTCTGTGGGTTCTCACAGTTGCCACACAGTGTTTTTATTACAGCCGGTTGTCGGTGGCAATTAACTGCGATTTAATTATGAGTCAAAGAGAGGCCGAACCCCGAGACCGAGACCGAGCCCGC